GTGTCAACAACTTCACCATCTCACCATCTTGGGCATACGTCCGCCTCACATCATCATGCAACGTTGAAGATGGTATGGTGGACGTGATAACCGCAACAGTGGCTGTGTTATTGTTGGGTTTCACGACTAGTTCAAAGTCGGGACGACGTGAGAGTGCATTAGTGACGACATTAATTCTTCCTGGTTTGTACTCTTCCGTAAAGTTGTACTCTGCAAAGAATGAAAACCACCGCGCCATTCGTTGTGAAAGGTGCGGGCTGTTTCCTGCCGTGCGTAACGACACATGGTCTGTGCAGACAATGAAGGATCTATCTCCTAATAGATAAACTCTGAGCTTCTCGAGTGCATACTTCATGGCAAGGGGTTCCTTGTCATGCACTGGATAGTTCCGCTCAGCTGGTTGCAGCTGACGCGACTGATAGCAGACGACGCGTTCAACGCCTTCAAGATCGTACTGCATTAGTGCACAGCCGATTGCGAAATCGCTGGCATCACAGACCACATGAAATGGCCTGTCCTGATCGGCAATTGCTAGGACTGGGGATTGTATCAAGCTCTGCTTGATACATCAAAGGAGCGCTGACATTCAGCGTTCCATAACCACCTCTCGTTCTTTTTCAACAAACGAGAGAGGTGTACAGTCATCTCGGCGTCATTGCGTGAATACTTGTGCAAATACGCCGCTAGCCCAAGGAATTTTTGAAGACCTTTGACATCAACTGGCACAGGCCAGTCGGTGATCGCCTTGATCTTTTCGGGATCAGGACGTACACCGTTATTACCAACGATGCATCCAAGAAGTGGTATTTCGCTTGCTGCAAATATACACTTCTTGAGGTTTGCATACAATTGATGCTTTCGCATGATTGTAAGAACCTGTCGGACGTGGCATCTGTGAACCTCAACGTCCGACTTTCCATCCATATCCCGACTATGGATGAATACGTCATCGAACAACTCGGTGCAAATTCTCGTACTGGTCTCAACAGATGTGATACACATCTGTTGAACGTGGCAGGGGCATTCCTAAGCCCTTGTGACATTACTAGCCATTCCCAGAGAGATTTATGCCGCGCGGTCCTTCAGATCACCCTGGGGTTAACTGCGAGTACTCTGACTCAGTTTGAACTCCTTACAGGACCCGCACCGCTCATTACACGATGGAGCTTTTCGGCTTGTAGGGCCTCCGGACGGCACTGGCCACTCATTGGTGGTTGCTCGTCTACATTATTAGCCTATCTCCGGCGCCCTGTAATTGAACCCTTACCAAATATCGATCCAGGTACCTCCCGGTCCCAGTTCCAGTGGTCTATCACTCGGCCACTGGGGTCGGTTCTAGCCATTCCCAGAGCATGCCGCTAGGCGTGATCACTGCGGTATAGGGTATGTCCCGTTCTCGCATAAGGATTTGATAGAAGCCATCCATCAAATCCATGGACGAAAAGATGGTACTCTTTGACATACCGTCAATGATTACGTCCTTCCTTGGTATCGGCGTCTGAGCCGGTACCGTTGCAGCATTCAACTTGTTGAATGCATGCACTATCTTCCACCCTCATGTTGCTTTTCGCACACAGAAGGTCGGAGAGCTATGTGGGGAAGTTTATTCCCTCACATGGCCCGCAGCTAAACGATCGGCAAAGAACTAGTCGACCGCAAGTACTTGTTCACGAAGCAGTGGCCACTGCTTCATGACACAGTACTTCGAGCCTGGTTTAAGCTCGACCTCGTGTCGAGTACCTTTATCCTTCGGTAACTCGGACGGAACAGTTTCAGGGAATACATCCTTGAATTTAACCAAATCTTCATTGAGAGGATTTGTCTTGAGCGATTCCCACGATTGGGAGTCATATCGCTCCACTCGTGTCTTTTCATCTAGGACACTCTCGTCCATAGATGAACTACTGAGAACTCTCTCGTTCTCAGTGAACACTGTTGCTGACCTTATGTCGGCTACACACTCGTCGTTAGCGACGGGTATGCAGATCTGCTTGACTTTGCCACTACGCAGATCACGCAAGAACCTTTATGTTCGAGATTTGGCAACTGAGTGATCTCCGAAGTCAACTTCGGAGGCACAATCAGATCAAGTGTGTGAGCGCCTACGCTTGATACGTCATTGACTAGGACATTCAATGTCTCTGTCATTTCCTGGGGACTTATTCCCTCAGGCCTCGAAGGATTTATTCTTCGGCTTCCCGGGGACGTATTCCCTCGGGTTTCGGGGAACTTATTTCCACCGTATCTGTAACATCAGGACTTATGCCCTTGATTTCCTCTAGCTGTGGCTGCGCAACCACAGTGAGATCCTCTACGAAAGACTCTCCAGTCGATCTAGGATTATCGTTTCGCTTAACCTGAGCGATCGATGGTTTCTCTTCTAGATGTTCCGTGGTAGGGATACATCTTTGTCCCGGTCCACTCGACTTATTCGAGTGGTGGAACTTTGGCGCAGCCTGTGTTTCCTCACAGCCACCGGAAGCTTGCTCCGAAGTGTAACTGTTTGTTACACTAAGGTTTCGTGCAGTCGTACTAGCGACCGTACCACAAGTGAGGCCATCGCACTCACTCGTAGTACATCCACACGCTTGTGGACGCTCCAAAACGTTCATCAATGGCCATCTGATGAACAAGCGGCAGGCATCGTTACTGTTCGATGTTGCCAGTTTACCCGTGGTTCGTACCTTCTGAGCCACGGTATTCCAAGGATGACATCAAATTTGTCATCCAAATCCAATACAATAAAGTCATCGTCATATCGGGTATCTTCTAGCGTATAGTGGATCTTCACTATACGCTTCATGACGGTTACGGATGCGCCTGTCGCAAGACGTACCGTCATCCTCGTAGGAGGTGTGTCACATTCACTGAACTTAAAATGACCATCTTCTAGCGATTGGCGTCGCACTAAATTGTTGGACGCCCCACAATCGACTAGAGCTCGAAGTACAAACTAATTCGTCACTTCGAGTTTCAAGGTAATGAGTGAGATCTCATTACCTGGAGCATCAACGCACAATGTTTGTGTGTTGGGAGCAACCTTCATCAAGAGGCCTACAAATTCTCTTGACGTTGCTGGACCAGTAGGGTGCACCTACTGATCCTGTCCGATTTTGACGGTCCATCCCGTTGTTGCGTCTTTGCACCAACAGCGGACCCTCGTCCCTGCCCCTTTCTCATGGGTGGACGGTCATTACGCCCAGTGTTGCGAGACACTGGACGAGGGGCACTACACTCGTGAGCGTAGTGTCCTGTCTTTTGACATCTGTTGCATTTATGCAGCTTCTTGTAGTCTGTAGAGCGAGCCTTCTCGCTCTCTGCATAACAGAGTTCCATCGGCTCTGGACCTCCGCTGTCATATCGTCTCGGTTGACGAAATGATGTCGAGCTGGCGCGAGCCTGTCTCAGACTGAAGTCTTCCTGTTCCGCAATGGAAATGGCTTGTTCTTGTGAATCTAGTTGAAGTCAGAACAGGTGAGTCTTGACGGGACCATCCGCAAGACCCTGCGTGAACACCGAAACCAACGTGTATTCATCAACCGGGTTGGAACTTATACAACTCGTGAGATGTCGTATATGTTGTGCATAAGCGTGCACATCACGCTTACCCTTTTTGATCTTCAAGAGTTCAGTTCGAGCTCTGAACTCAGCTCTAGGCGGTTCAAACGTTTGTCTGAGCCGCGACTTGAAGACTTCTAACGACCCAAACGCATGTGGGTCGTGCAACTTGATCCCCAAAGCCCAAGTCTTGGCACGTCCTGCCAGATTTGATTGGGCAAATGCAACTTACCGTTCTCCGTCGTCGATGCGACGCGCCCTTATGGCGCCGTCCAATTCGACAAACCATCTCACGAGGGAGTCCTCTTCGACTCCCCTATACTTGGAGATGTCAATCTTCAATGTCTCGGGTCGACGCGAGTGCATCGACCCACCACCAGCAGCCTGCTGCTGTCTCAACAGTTCAAACTGTTGAGCACCCTGTTCTCTCAACAACTATGCTTGATGAGAACCTTGTTGGTGAAGCAAGGCTACTTTCTCGCGTTCAGCGTCAAGTTCATTTTGAATGAACTTGGCGATAATAGCATGTTGGGCATCTCTATTGAGAGCCTCTAGCATGACGCTAACAGCATGGATGTCCATGGTTGAACCCATCCGTTCAACCGCATCCCATTCGACATCGCTCAAATGGGAGTAGCCGTCACGCGTAGCGTGAAAGATTTGGTCATCTTCATCATCTAACATATTCATGTTAGATGTGAACGTGGTCCTTGGACGGACTACGAAGTGCTACCAGGTGTAACGGGGCACCCTCAAGCTTGTACTGATGACAGTACAAGCTACTTATTCTGATGACAGAATAAGGCGGTGCCTCGTAACTTCACGTAGACTGATACGTGCAGAGGAAGACGGTAAGAAGAAGCGAGTACTTGGTTAAAGTAAAAAGGAGAACTGTATTTATAATAGTTAATGTCTGTTAATAAACGACTATACATCCTCATCTAATTATGTCTGAATACGAATGTGCATATCAGCTATCTGCTCACCACTCATTGCGTGCGTCTGTCGTGGCGCGTCTTCGTTGGTTGATATAATGGCCTATATCAACCAATTAGGAACTACTCGTAAGTGCTGCAGAATATTTGTCCTTATGACAATATTCTGAGAATAAAACTCTTTTAGTTGTACTCTATTCACAATTTCTTACAAATTGTTATGTAACGATTCACCCCGTTACAAACATTCAAGGAGCATCACTGCGGTTATGGCAGTCTTTGCATCGAGACGCAACGAACGCGTAGAGATTTTCCCACCTTTATTCAGATCAAACCTTGTCACGTGCAGCGCTATTCACAACTTCCACGTCTGCCCCTCCAGGAGCTACAATCTCCACTGGCACCAATCACAAATCACGTCCCATTCGTCTTTTATCACATCGTTCACTCGAACGTAAGCTATACAAGAAGCAAATCAGGAGTCCTCTTGCTTCTGAAGGAGCTCACATGATGGTAATCAAAGTGCTGTACTTTGCGTCAGCGAGGGAAGACATCGGTCTGCGTGAGGAGAGGCTACAGCTACCGGACGAGAGCAACATCACGCTGGCGTCACTGCGCCGGCTGCTGCTGGACAAGTACCCGCACGCCACGTCGACCATTGAAAGCATCACGTTTGCGCTCAACCTCGAGTACTCTGACGACGACGTGGCACTGACGGATGGAGACGAAGTGGCACTCATCCCTCCCATTAGCGGCGGATAAAGGCTGCAGAATCAAAGGACCAGAGAGACGAGAAGCAGTCCTTATCGTATCGGGATATAGATGAATGAAACAATCCAAACCTTACCGTGTCTTGCTTCCTACCTGTCAAACCACAATACGTCGTCCATATCAACGCTGTCAGCGAAACAAATCTGTTTCATGAGCACCAGACGCCCACCGTGCATTTAAAAACGCGGTCCAGGTCTTGATTGGTGCTACTGGATGGCGGCGAGACCAGCAGCTTCTTAGGCGACACACTGACAACCAGCGACGGGAGTTCGTCATCCAGCAGCGTAAGTGCTGCCAGCCAGAGACTAAAAAGCCTTAAACTCGGCGTTGACTACTTCGCTCCTCTACTTCCATCACGGGTGGTTCACCTTGTTGCGGGTGACCAGATGAAGGCACTGACCACGATCTAGCATGGTAGCAATGCCCGCTCATTTGTCTACACTGCGTTTTAGAAAGCAGACAGAACTCCCAGCAACGGACAAGACTATAGTTGTCAGCGCAGTTGCAGCACCTCGCTCTCGTTTTGAGCAGGAAGGAATCAACGAAGCTTTGACGCGCTTCCACTGACTCATTATGTGGAAATGGGCTCGGACGGCCAACGAATACTTCGTTCGGACGCATCGGACCTACACCCAGTGCCACGTCAAGTGCCGTGGTCGACAACATCCATCGCACCCTTTCAATAGTAGGCTCTTCGTCTGCCTCAACGGCTACCCTTCCATCTGTAGCGTGTGTTCACGTGAACACACGCTACACTACGGAAGCAAGGCAATTGTAGACATGACAGGCCACATCAATATAGTAATCAGTTGGTAGCACTCGTCCCACGTGCGAGTCCATCCTCTCGAACTAGTCCCTCAATCTATCCGTCTCAATATTCGACATGAGATGGCTCGACAACGCAATGGCGGCGAGTAGTACCTGCCTGCAGCCGATGCCAGCGCCCGTGTGCAGCTGCAATGTTAATCTTCTACTTACATTCGTGCGGATTATCATAAATGGCCCTGAGCTCGTACGTCTGCCGGTCTTCGCTGTCGAACTTGACCTTTGTGGACTGTCATGTTATTTTCGTGCTTTCCGCGCGTGCTTTTCCAGGTGAGGAACGGGGTGACGATTCAGGAGCTTAATGGGAACCAACGGCCGGATACGTTTAGCGCGTGTGATGGATTGGCGAAATTCTGAAGACTCGGGCCTCGCACAAGTCTGAAGCATCACATGTGAAGTGGCGGAGAGTTGCGATGTGATTTTGGCACACAAGTGTCGGTCTTTTACAAAGTGCCGGTTGAAATTGCACGCTGCGTGGAGATTCGAAGGTGGCTTAGAATTGGTGGGAGGGTATCGGTAAGGCCTATTTGTTTGCTGATGAAGGCGTGTGGAGTTTGTGCTACTGCTTTTTGGTGGAATGTAGCATGATCATTCGGCGGTAACATGCTACAGTCATTCATTGAGATGAATGTGGTCGAAGCAGCACCGATTGCTTGACCAATGAGTGTCGAACCTTGAACGCCGGACGACTTGTAGTTGATCAGATTGCATGCAGGGGAAAATTGAGACGGAGTTGTTTCGACAAGAGAGGCGGTCAATCAGGTGAATTTGACTACTGTTGTATGGATAGAAAAGATGACTTTCTTACGCGATAGCAGGTGTGTGTGGTAAATGACGAGCAAGTGATCCCGATATGAGTCGATAGAACGCGGTGACTCGAATCAGGACGTCTCTTCCAGACGGAGCGTCGGTCAAACGTTTGTGCAGCAATCGTGCTGCAACTGTACTTATCACCCATGCATTTGTGAAGAACATTTCGCCCATGATTTTTTTGATGTAATGCTTGTTTATTGCTTCGTTGTCGAGAAGAAGCTCGGCTAACTCCCGCCTTGAAGGTTAGAGTGGCACCGAAATAGCGCTTTGAGTCTGAAAACAATGAACGGCTTGAGTCCCGGTTTGTACAATGAGTAATTGACAACGTTTGTTGTCTTGGTACGGAACCAGTAGTGACACTCAAACAAAGCACAGCTGTGTTGTATGACTAAAGGCTGCGTACCGTTACCAAATGATTTATGTGCACTGCAAAACGATACGACGCACGAAGAATTGATTCAGCAAGAAAGTCTAGCTACGTTTGATGGCGAAAGACGCTCCTACGTGGCGCTATGACGCTCAACATAGAAGACGACGACACAAAATATCGCGCACACTGACTATGTGAGGTACTTCTGCATTGGTAGGTGATTTGGATAGATACTGACCCTGCACCTCGTATTTTTTAACCACAGGCAGCAAGATATCTGTTGTGTTGCAAAACGAAGGCCTCTTTTATTGCATTGTACGGGGCTACGTCCTTCCCTTGTGATCCATGCTGGCAACTTGGGGCATCACAACGCACAGATCGGTATATCCTCGTGTTTTAAGGCTTCCGGTCCTATCTCCTTCGCTCCAGTGGCGCTGTTGACGAACCTCCGTGATCTCAATGACGGTCAATCTGCATCGGCTTGCCAAGTCCGATAATCAAATTGACACTGGATCAGCTCGATTTAGCAAAGTCACGTTGTTTGTGTCACAAAGGAGAACTCTACGCTGCCTTGATTAAAAAGGCGTGTCCTGTTTGGTCGCAAGATGGGTCAGCAGCACGAGCTGTGCTGGGCACAAAGCTGCTCGAGTAAGTAGATGTTGGCAGTGATAGAGGTAGTGAAAAAGACCCTATTGCGAGCCTTAGCGCAAGAGGCCGAACGAGTCTTAGATATGCTGCGTTCACTGCAACTGCAGGCCGCCGAGACAAAGAAGATATAGACATGGAGACTATGCGATCACGGATGATAAATTGGTCGATGAAGCAGCCACTCACTATCTTACCCTCGTCGCTTGGACAATTTGGACGCGCAGGTGCCTTAAAAATGAAGATGAGTCTGCAGGTGTGGCAAGAAGATTCGCGGCGTATTGCCAAGCTACTGCTCATTTTGGTGCGTCAGAATCGTCAGCGTATGCATGAGGCTGCAGTTAAATTATGTACGCCCTTTAAGCGAGAGTGTGAGGTATGTTGAGAGTTTTCCTGGGAACAAAGGCTTTGTGCACGAAAATAACTGCTTGGGCTGGTTGTCAACGCCACGCAGAGAAACAATGTGGCTGTCACTGCAACTGTTTGGTCCGACAGCAGTATCCATAGAACCTCCGCGGCTGTGGCCCTTCGGCCGCTCCATTTTAAGTGACTTTGCCAAATACAAAAGGGCGCGGGTCTCCGATTCATCAAATGCTGGAAATGAAAGTGAGAGGTGTGGTATTCGCTGTTAGTCATTATTAGCTTAAAGCAGCGCGATTTTGAGGAGTCAGTCGTCGATTCTCAGCCGACGCAGCTGATCGGCGTGGACCTTTTCAAGTGCTCTTTCCCAGTGGCAGCTGTCGGAGGACTTAAACACGTACGAACAGTACTTAAAGATACCCTCGAACTTCCGACTCGCTAGCAAATGTGTACGAAATCTGCCACTTAGGCTCATAGCTGGGGGGCTGATGTATGGCCCTTCCAGATGCGGGCGGGGTAAATGCTTTTGGCCAGCGCAGTGGCACCGAAAGTGAATGAACTTCATCAGTGTCAATACGGACCTGAAGTTCTGAATTATATACATCGGCGCCAGTGAGTAGGGCATTCAGGGCTCGTTTGCAGATCTGAACTAGAAGTCCCGTTCGTGTTATTTCTTGACGAGTTTGATTTGATCGCTCCCCACCGCACACTCGGATAATAGCGGCGTCATCGTCTGTTAAGTGAATCAGTCGCTCCACTTTTTTGGTGGAGAGAATGCCGAAAGGTAAGTAACAAGAATGACTGGTTCGTATGCCGAACTTGTAGTCTAGTTTTACCATGGGACGGTGGCATGCCATGATATCCAAGGCGTCAGTGCTGGTAGCTACGAAGCAGTCAGACATGTTTGACTCCCGCCTTTTTCGACCAGTCCCTCTACTACCGTATATCTGTACCCTGGCGAATCATCACATTTTAACACGGATTGTTATATACACTCGACTTTTTACTAGAAACATCCCATACACCACCCCCGTACCACACCACAATACGGTTTGTGCGACGAAGATCACGCCTACTCACCTCTGCCGACCACTGTCGCACAACAATCTGCATCTATCATACAAATGTAAGTAATTTTCTCAGCAAAACCTCTTTAAGCACACAATAGACGATTGAAGCTCAGTGCTTTCGTGTACGAATTGATCAACAACCACGACGCTCGTCACTACATGTCAGATCCATCTAAACGGCTACTTGTTTCCTTTAGAAATGGCAACAACTACGTTTCAGTCGAGAAAGGCACAAAAATGAATGGAACAAAAGTCCACGTTTCATTAAACGATTCGCATGCGTACGTCGCACTGACATTTACCGTTAAGAACGAGAATCGTGTAATACAGCTGCATGTTTTTTGATCGAGCCTATCCTGGATCTGAGACAGAACAAGATCGTTGCCGGTCAAAGAATAAAATAGTTGTCCAGCTGCACGACAAGTATCCGATTTCCATCGTTCAAGGTGGTGTGTTAGGCCCCTTTTAATAGGGGGTTCAACACGTATATTGTAATTAACCTTGTCCTTTTATTCCCTAACAAGCAATGTAGACAATATCTGGATTCTCAGAACAACATGCGACGAGCTGACGTCACAATGTTCACCCGGCAAGATGCTACAGACGCGTGATAGTTTGCTCTTCATCACGATTTCGCTCACTTGTTGTGCTTACAAATATCGATCTATATTTTGCTAACACAGCGGTTGACGAGGACTGAGGACTGAGGGCTGTTTGCGTGCGCGATGCTGTCTTATGACCGACGCAATGGCCATTTTGTAGATCCGAGATGGACCATTAATTAGCATTTGTACGAGAGATGCAGAATGTTGTGTCATAGTGGTCGTACAGAGGTGTGTAGGCGAGATATTCGTCGTACAAATCGTACATTGTGGTGTAGTACGGGTGTGGTGTGGTGCGGGTGCAATTAGCACAAAGTCGGGTGGAATTAACAATACCCTTATTTTACTATGTGTTTTAATCCCGAAGGTGATTTCAACCTGTGCAAGCATTCCGGATTCACCCTTTAAACGTGAGTTTCGTGATCGCTATTGCAATCACCAAAGTCAACATTCTCTAGGCTTTCTGCAGACCGATTTTATATAAAATCGGAAGGAGGCCAACAGTGCATTTTGGCCGTGCATTTTATAGCCTAAATTTCGGCTGAGGTTGCGGAGACGAGTCGTTATTTGTTACCTCAAACACACGGGGTTTCTACACACGCTCTGTCGTCTGATTGCTTGCGCATCTTGAGATTCAAATCTCAGTATACCACGTACGACACTTGCAGGCGAGAACAGAATCGATTCCGTTGTCCAACGCGAACAAGAATCTGCACATTGGCCTTTCGCGCTTAGGGTGCCTCGCAGCTCCTTTCAGTGTCGTACTAGTGATCCAAATCGTTTTAGGCAAAAAGTCCGTCAATCGCGTGCACCAAAAACTACAAGTTTTAGTCGCAAGCTCAATCTCGTGCTCACGGAGTTCGTGATATAACCTCAATCTGAACAAGCAAATGAACTGGCATGTGACTTTTTAACTGTCGTCAACTTGTTCTCTGTACAAACGCTGCATCGTGTTGTTGTGCATCGTCAAAGGCGACTAAAAATTGCACGCAATCAAACGACAAGATACTTATCCAAGCTCAAGTCGCGCAGCGTAAGTATACTGACTCGTCTGATCACTTGATAAGACGAGCCAAATGTTTCTGTCGAACGACCTGAACTTCTTCTTGATTTTTCTTTTTGAGTCACCGATTCGTTACTTCAGTCACCGATTCGCTACTTCAGTCACCGATTCGTTACCCCAGTCGCTAATCTGTTCCCCTAGTCAAAGCCATAAAGTCCGGCTCTTTTTCCTGTGCATACTGACCACAAGCTACGGCACCCGCACGAACAGCTCATCTCCCCACGCACGATTTACGAAGTGGACAGAAAAAGCACAAGTCGAGTGCAGAGTCCGGGCGAGCTACCCTCTGGACGATGAGGCATTGCGTTTCTGGAGGAGCCGCTGGACGTCATTGAACAATTTGCTTCCGACTACAGCGCTCAAGGTCTCTCGTTTTGGAAACAATGCGTCTCCTTGACGCAGTCCTGCTGCCTGGCTGCATCGTCTTCGCATCTATCTCGGCATCACTTGGAGCCCGTGTGCTTCGTGGAGAGAAGATGACGGGTCCTGCTGGTCCACCCATTCGATTCGACACTGCAGCAGGCGGTGGTGAGGAAGAAAGAAGTTTTAGGTTCCTGGACGTTTTCTTAAGCCGCTTTGGGAAATCGGCTTCCACATTGAAGCCCTCCCGTAAGATGGCTGAGGCTGCAACAAGCGTAGCTGGACTCACGCGAAAGGTCGACGACGCACTCGAGAAACGCAACGCTGTATGGAACCAGCTGACCAAATCGTATGAGGACATTAAAGCTACATGGAAGGAGCCCGAAGCCCTCGCTTCTTTCATCGGAAGTCGTCACTACACTGAAATGGTTGACAGTGTTGTGGAGGCTAGCAAACCACTCGGCAGAAAACATCAAATCCTTGCAGTGGAATTTTTCATGAAAAACACTTCGCAAGATGATTTGATGAAAATGATTGATGGAGCCCTCAAGAGCAAGGATGCGCGGATTCGGGGACTTGGTGAAAATTTCTTGACCGGTATGGCGGAGGCGTCATATCGGCATCAGGTGAAACTAGAAAAACTTAATGGCAAGTATCGTATGTTTTTCGAGAAAGCTGGAGAGCAATGGGAGAGAAAACAGGGCGAGAAGACTTTGTTTGGGAGGATTAAGACAGATCCTATTATCCCGTAGGTACATAATTGCGTGGTCACTGATGTTTTTACTCGTTTTAATGTACAATTGCGTGGTCACTGATGTTTTTAATCGTTTTTTAATGGACAATTGCAATTTCACTAGCAAGATCACTGACGTTGACTTAGCTATCGTATCGAAAATCCACAGATAAGCCAACCCTAGCCGATTAGTTTGATACTGTTACAGATTCCATTTGAGCTCGCGACTTGCATTTTACCGCCCCGTACTCCCCCATTTCTATATTTGTCTCTTTTTTTGAGAAGAAAGCAACAAATGAGATCATGTGATAGCTTGATTAACTGAAGCACCTTTATTGTAGCTTACTCGGCGCTCTTACAACCAGTATGTGCTCGCATTTTTTCCAGTTACGTAAGCCGAGACTCCTACTATTCAAACCCATCACTTTTATAGGGTTTTATGCCGACGTCGATTGCGAAGCGTCTAAGTCACCAATTGTCAAGCGTGAGAGCTCCAACTACAGCAAGCAGTGCTGTCTGTGCCCGGGATGCCAAACCGCCTTTCATTTATCGTTGTTGCTGCCCATACTCGACGCTTCTTCCAGCTTGTATCGCTCGGATTCACTTCTACAAATTACGATACATTTATAGTATTAAACAATTTATTGCTGCTTTTTATAGGTAGGTAACTACGATGGCTAGCCAAATTGATAAAAATAGGCTTCCTTTTCGTAACAGTATAAATACACATTGGCGAAATGAAACAATAGTCCTTCATTTGGGACAAAGACAACGAAGCAGTAAGACTAAGTCTCATATGTCGGCCATGCTTTTAGCCACATATAGGTCCATTTAAACGATGCAGCGAAACAGTTCTGTATGTTCCCTCTTCACTTCTGCGTGTCAGCACCATGCAGTTGACAATTACAAGGTCGCACTAAGGTTGAGCTCACAGTGCACTATGTTGAGTGTCGAGATCTATGATGACGACACGGTCAATTATGCACATTCCTCCATTATCATTGGTAAAGCTTGTAGCCCCGAAGCAATTGAGCATAGATCCAGCTATACGGAACAAATGGTACTTTTACTGCGCGATCGCATGCTGATCTCTTTAGACACTAGCTAGGTTCCTATGTCATACAACGCGGTATCTTTTTGTAGCTTGCTTTTGATGTTCTTATTTGCGGAGCCAACTCAAGGCCAGATGCCTTCGAAGGAGCTACTCGATCGCGGCTACTTTATCGTGCCGTCATGGTAGTATTACCGTACTAGGCGACAAAAACCTCAGTTCATACCAATAGAAAATGTCTCGTCACCTCTACTTAACTTGTCTGCGAAGTCGGCGTTTTTAAATTTAATTCTTGGGTTCGGGTCGTTTCATTCTGTGTGGGAGGTCGTGTGTGTATCGACGGTTCGACACTGTCGAGTGCTCGGGATCGGAAAAGGTTCTGCATATTTTTTCGAATGGAGAAGAATGCTGAAGATCATCTCTCGATCGAGGAAACTGCACGATAGTAAGACGCGCGATGGCTTGCACGTTGCGCACTTGCAATAATGTGTCTATCGTTCAGCATGCGCTTTTACTCACTTGACAATCTATCAGTATCATTTGGGAATCACCTGGTGCGACCAGGTGATTCTTAAATGTGGCTCAAGCGATTGAAGAAAATCGAACGAAGCGATTTAAAAGGTTATAAGATGAAAAGGTCGTTTTTGTCACAGACATGTCTGTTTCGGGGCAGTGACAACCGAGTCCTTTCCTATTTGCTATAATTTTGGATGTTAGCTGCTTGATTGGGGGAAACTGCCGGCAGTGAAACAACCAGGTTGTGGCAATCGAGTGATTCCCTCACATATCGTAAAAGTATCAATAAACTCTTACTTTATCACTTAATATATGTGCACAGTTAATATCATATTTTTGGTTGGCCAGCATGCGCCCGTCATGACCAGTAGATCGATCTGTCACGTCTTCAGTGGCGCTTCATCTTTTGCAGTGCCAAGCTAGAGTCACCTATTCGTTCGATACTTTCTTGTCCTTTAGCTGAAAAGGACTTGATACCTTCTCATCCTTCTCTGAAGGTGTCTCTCGTAGGGTGTAAAGTTCTACTGCAGGTCGTTCGTCTAGTTGCCGGAATGAGCCACAGGGTTGCTGAAAAGCAGCAGTGTGTGCGATGTTCCAGCTCTGGATAAGCTCCTCAGGCGTCAGCGATAGCAAATATCTGGAGATACTGTGTGGAGTTCTTGCTGCAATTGGCATGGACCATGAAAAGCTCCAGACATTCAACAATCACATGCTACGTGATAGATAGCCATTTGAAATGGGTAGTAGCAGAAAAGATGTGTTACAAGTGTCTCAGTGATGATGACCCATGCCAGGCCGTAGCTCATTATAGTGTGTGCACGTAGCGTCTTGCTCGACGCTTCTTTTGTACAATCATCACTTGTAAGCCTGAAGTGCAGTCTGCACAATTAAAAGCCAACAAGGCCTCATTTCACATTGTCTTCACGTTACGCGAACCCATTCGAGGTGGTAACATTCGGCGGCTGAGCCATACCTGCACCGCCTCGAGCGAACTGCTGCTGCTGCCGTCCTATCGGCACGCCCATCATCTGGTGCTGCGTCACCATACTCATCGGAGGCTGTATCATCATCGTCTGAGGCTGCATCGGCATCATTGGAGAATGTGTCTGCAGCTGCATCGGCATCTGATGCAGTTGTGCCTGAATGGGCATCTGATGCATCTGCATATTCGTATACACTTGGTTCGGCATGCCCGTGGCCCCATCAATGGTCTGGAGCTGCTTCATATTAAGCTGGGTCATGCTGCTAGACACATTCCGCTGCTGCTGTCCTTGCAACGGCATGGCCATCACAGGCGTCGGCTGATCGGGACCACGAGCCTTCTGCATGTCGTTTAACGACCGCTTCTCTTTCGGGTTCGCAGACAACGCCTTCTTCTTTTCACTCGCTAGAGCGCTAAAGTCAATGATATTGTTTTCTGGTAGCATGGTCGTTTGGAACGCATCACCTCGCGAATCAGACTGTAACTGGTCGCCAGGATAAGTAGCTGTAGGCGCAGTGTCACGTGATTCGACAGACGACTGCAACAGAGCGGCATCTTGAACAGAGGCTGAAAAGCTCAGCCCTGCAAGTTCTTGCAATGGGTTTTGGCATAGCGGTCCATCGAAGACCGAAGACTGCACTTCTCGTCCAGAACATCCAGATGTGGCCGGCTGCGCCATTTGCGGGACGTCCAAGTCCACGCCAAGCAAGTCCACACTTACACTGCTACCAGCTGCAACCGCCTTCTTCTTAGCACGTGCTTTTGCCTTGCGCGTACTCGTCCTACGAGAAGCAGCTTCATCCTCTGAAGATGCAATCGACTGGCGCCGCGTGTGCGACTTGTTGCCGCCTTTGTCGTTCTTGTTCTTCTTGGCCTTTGCCTTTTTCTTTGTCACCTTCTCTTGGTTCGCAGAAGACAGAGACGGCAGCTTTGCCGAGTCACACGAGAGCGAAGAGTCCGCCGACGCATTGTCCGTGCTGCAACCACCTTCACTTTCACTCTCCTCCGAGTAAAACCCCCCACGTGTCTTGGACTTCTTTGTCTTTTTCTTTGTTTTCGTCTCCCCTTCCCTCGAACGTCGACGCGCGTCCACCGCCTCAGTCGCTGACGACTCGGCACACGACAGCGCGTCTCGCTCTTCCTCCCGCTCACTTGTACTATCACTCTCCTGCTTCTTCTCCTCCCTCTTCGCTCTAGTCTTCTTCTTACTCTTCCTCCTTCCTTTGCTCTCCTTCTTTGTATACCGACTCGATTGGCCATAACCATCGAAAGACTTCCCACTCAAGTGACACCCGTCGTTGTTGGCTGGCAAGGGGGTACTCGTGTACCCCCTGCTATACTCCGCATACACCTTCGGTCTCTCGGTCACAAAGTCATTCTGATACCCTCCAGTGTAACCCGCCAAGCCTCCACCACTAGCAGACGCCGCCGCACCGCCATTTGTGGTGTACATAGACGTGGACGAACTCCGGATATCCGCCATCCAGTTCGCCCGCCCATCGTTCCTTGGCGTGTGCTGCGCGTAGGGATCGGAAATAACCGAATGGTCCGACACAGGTCCGCGCGTGAGTTTCCCGCCATATTCGATCACTTTCCCGCCAAGCCACTGGCCGCGCTCCAGGATCTTGTGTTTCCAGTCACCGGGGTCCGTGCGGCTGCCGGTGCTGGCGCTTCCATTGTACGCGCGGCTCCCATTGGCAGACGGAGCGTTCGCGCGGTTGCGGTCGTGGAAGTGGCGAGCGCTGGAGAAACTCGAGCTCTCGACTGCGTTTTGCATCCACATGGTCAGAAATGATGACTGCGGGTGAGTATACTCGCGGGTGGCTGGCTGACCTCTTGGTCAATAATAAAAAGGGTATTTTTGACACGGAGCTGCTCGGGGAGTGCGCTCGAGATCTGATGCTTTTGGTTCTTTTTTCTTTCCTGATTTTGACACTGATGGGTGGGGAACGTGTTCGAATTCTGGACGATGTGGGTTGACACAGATTAGTGACCAGTTAGAACCCCGAAAGAGGTGAAGAGCAGCCGAGGGATCGATCAGACGTGGGAATTGGCAGATTTCTGCTTTTTATAAAAAAAAATGGAGCGCTGGATGGACGGCGAAGAGGCAGCTGAAGAAGAGCTGCGACTGCTGGAGGCTATGAATACAGTGTCTACCGCTGTACAGAAGGTTAGACAGGATAGATAGCTGCTGCTGTAGTAGTAGTAGCGGTAGTAGCAAGGTCGAGATCGACGCGCTAAGATGTCCTTATTTATTCGAGTGGTAGTGGACGTTTGTTTGTACTGAGCCAAGCGGCGTCTTGTGACGTGGTCTGATCGCAGCTGAATCAAGTGCTGGCCACGCTCAACCGACAGACGGTCGAGCTGTCCAAGGAGCTAGGAACAGCAGAGCGGCAGCTGGTGCGTGTGAATAGCTGCGAGCGGTTCGTGTCTTTATGGTTGGAGTTGTGGTGACTTACAGGCTGCTTGAGTGCCTCTGTTGTCGTCGCTAGAACGCCTTGTACTTGCCGTTTCAAGCTGCTATTTATGAGATGCAGAAGGCAGGCAACGACGGGAGAAGCGCGGCAACGTCAGTACCAGCGATCACGCCGGTGGCCACACCGGAGGCTCAACGGACCGAGCTATAAGTGGTAGTTTAGTTTGTGGTAGATGTTGGTCTATTCACCGTAGACTCATCCATTCACGTGAAGGTGCATTATAATAGACCATAGTAGGGTTTTTTCGCACATGGTATCGTTAAAACGCTGTGGTTAGTGTACTTATTACTAATTGTCATCCGTGAAATGTATGGACAGCTTGGCCGAGTGGTTAAGGCGATGGACTTGAAATCCATTGGGGCAACCCGCGTGAGTTCAAACCTCACAGCTGTCGAAAACGTTTTGGATGTTCACAATCAACAAACCACACAAGATGTAAAGACTCAGTTGTATACCATCCCCACCTTATTTCTGTAATCGATGATCACTAACACAACGGATTCAGTGCCCAAGCTAAAACTCTCATCATGTTGCAACAGTCTAATTACTTAGGACCGACCATCTCTTCGGGACGCACAAAACGGTCAAACTCCTCACCAGTCAGGTAACCCAGCGCAATGACGGTCTCGCGTAAGGTTGCGCCGTCCTGGTGTGCCTTCTTAGCCACCTTGGAGGCCTTATCGTAGCCAATGTGCGGGTTTAGCGCCGTGACGAGCATGAGCGAGTTCTTCATCAGCTGGTCAATCTTTTCACGGTTGGCCTCAATGCTCACTACGCAATTGTCCGTGAACGCGTTACAGCTATCGCCAATCAGGCGAATGGAGGACAGCAAGTTGCTGATCATCACGGGCTTGAACACGTTCAGCTCAAAGTGGCCGTTCGAGCCACCCACAGTCACAGCGACGTGGTTGCCCATGACCTGCGCGCACACCATCGTGATGGCCTCGCATTGCGTGGGGTTTACCTTGCCAGGCATAATGGACGAACCAGGCTCGTTGGCTGGTAGCGTCAGCTCTCCCAGACCACTGCGCGGGCCGGAACCGAGAAAGCGAATATCATTAGCGATCTTCATGAGGGAACAGGCGATGGTGTTCATCACACCGCTGGCCTCCACAACGGCGTCGTGGGCAGCAAGCGCCTCAAACTTGTTAGGAGCCGTAATGAACGGGAGCTTTGTCTCGTTCGCAATGATCTGGGCAATCTCGGCATCGTAGCCCTTGGACGTATTGAGACCAGTGCCCACAGCTGTGCCACCAAGCGCAAGCTTGCACAAATTGGGGAGAATGCGCTCGACGCGCTCAATCGAGAGGGCGGTTTGTTCCCGGTAGCCGGAAAACTCTTGCCCGAGCGTGAGTGGCGTCGCATCTTGGGTGTGAGTGCGTCCAATCTTGATAATGTCATCAAACTCCTTCACTTTCGCATCCAGAGCTTCGTGGAGCTTGTGGAGTCCAGGCAGCAACACACGGTGGACTTCCTGTACAGCGGCAATGTGCATCGCAGTTGGGAACGAGTCGTTCGACGACTGGCCCATGTTTACGTGATCATTCGGGTGCACGGGCGTCTTACTGCCCATGACTCCGCCAGCCAATTCAATGGCTCGATTGCTAATCACCTCGTTCGTGTTCATGTTCGACTGTGTACCAGAGCCCGTCTGAAAGACCACAAGAGGAAAATGGTCGTCCAGCTTCCCCGCAATGACGTCGTCAGCCGCTGCAATGATCTTCTCGGCCACCTCGGGGCTCAACTTGCCCTTCTCCAGGTTGTACTTGGCTGCGCACTTCTTGACGACTCCAAAGGCTTTGATCACGGGCAAGGGCATGCGCTCCCGAGCGCCACCGATGGGGAAGTTCTCGAGACTGCGCTGCGTCTGGGCGCCCCAGTACTTGGAATCGTCCACTTGGATCTCGCCAATGGAATCCGATTCCATGCGAAACGTGCTGGCAGCTCGCACGACAGTGACGGTCATGCGGGAAGAGACCGCGGCTCTGCCTACTGCAGCAGAGAGCATGGCGATGGTGCTCGAGGGGGATGGACTGAGCGCAAAGGAATGGCGCTGGGGATCACGAGCGCTAAGGTGAGGAGCTCAGCAAATGAGGATCTGCCCGAGTCGACGACGAATGTGGACCACATGTTGTTTTCGTGATTTTTCAAGGGATGGCAAATTTGTGAGCGGTTTTTGGTGAATTTAGAACCTTGATCGGGATTTTCGAGATGGATGCGCAGCGAGATACGCTACATTAGTGCATGCTAAACGAGGTCCAGTTGTCTTTTATTACAAGTGGCCTGCTTTCACTGTCGAAAGTGGAGATTCGTATTCTATTCGCGCGACGATACTAACTGCTGGGAAGCTCTCAGACGTGCGCAAAAATGAAATTTCGGTTTTTAGTGGTGCAGCGAGCCTACGGTAGGAAAAAGTACTCGATCTTTCTTTTAAACAATCTCGAGGTAGCTCTTCTGAATGTCCGACGAATAATGGATGAGATTTGGATTCGACTTTTTGTTGTTGCCGTCTATGTAAGTCACCCGCGGCCTGTGGTTGTCAACAATACTGGTACTAAGGCGTGCGCGCATAAGATTCTCACTTGAGCCATTTGCTTTGGTGTAGAGCGTTGTGATTCGACATGGTATTGTTAGCAGTGTGTAATTTAAATTGTGATGTATTTTAGAGTAGACTTACACGATATTGAGAGCCGCGATAAATTAAAATCGAGGAGCAAGCTCTGGAGCTCGCACAATGGTATGCGTGATTCAATTCGAAGAACTGAATCAAGATTTAAAAACACTACACAACAGCAGCAGTCACTGAAGAAGGAGTATGATGCTGTTTGTGTCTAAATTAACCCAGAAGTACACTCATGCAACGCGATCGGCCTTTTCTTAAATGCGTCCAGCATTTGCTTGTGCGATCATGTTCACCTTGGATCGATTTCAAGCCAATCACAAGCGTGCACCACAATAGTGACTTATCCAAAGAGTGACTGACTTTAAATATTCCTATAAGGGGGGCTAGATCGCACTTTGGTACAGGAAAAGATACACCTAGCCACGTTGTTTACGAACACACACTCGCACTCACACAGATAAGTACGGTTTGAAAAGCTCGTCATTCACTTGCGCACCGTTTTAATATTAGCTTCACCCTTCGAGCTCGCAATAAGTAAAATGGTGTGAAGTCGAGGTACGGAGTACTCATAGAAAAACCGAATTTGCTGTCTTGAAGAGAGTGAGTATGAGGAAGGGGGATGTGCTTTCAGGTTATAGTAACAGGGGTGCAATCACAATTTTAATTTACGGGGATACTGTAACGGGGCACCCTGAAGCTTGTACTGGTGACAGTACAAGCTACTTATTCTGATGACAGAATAAGGCGGTGCCTCGTAACTTCACGTACACTGGTACGTGCAGAGGAAGACGGTAGGAAGAAGCGAGTACTTGGTTAGAGTAAAAAGTAGAACTGTATTTAGTATAGTTAATGTCTGCAATAAATCACTATTTATCTTCATCTAACTATGTCTAAATACAAATGTGTAAATCAATTATCTGCTCACCACTCATTGCGTGCGTCTGTCGTGGCGCGTCTTTGTTGTTTGATATAATGGCCTATATCAACCAATTAGGAACTACTTGTAAGTGCAACAGAATATTTGTCCTTATGACAATATTCTGAGAATTTAACTCTTACAGTTATATTCTATTAACAATTTCTTAAAATTGTTATGTAACGATTCACCCCGTTACAGATACAATTAATCAGGATTCGCAAAGGGTGTGATCTAAAGGGAAGATAGGTGCGATTAAATCAATCCCCTACCTATAAAGGTATGAGTTTAGTGTTTTGTTCAGAGGACTTAACCCGGCAAAATCAAGACCGAAGCGTACTTGTTCCTCCGCGAGCGAAATATCGCAGTAGTTGTACCTCTCCCAAATATAGTGCTACTCCCTCTTAATGTTGTGTAAGACAGACACAATGAACACCACAACGTAAACATGGATGACACACCTGCCCATCAATCTGCGCCGGCAATACGCAACGATGACCTCTTGTTACGACATAGTTCGAGTTTGCCTCCACGGCCACGCTATTTCGCTCGAAAAGTGTCGAATTGAACAAGATTTACGTGAAAATATGCGGCAGTAGTAAATGCCAAATGCAACTGTAGTGACAAAACATGTACTTATGCGACGTGCATGACTTGGCGAGTGGACTCACGATTCAATTGTTACTGTAAAACCCTCCTTTTTACATCGATAGCAGAAACGGCCACAACAACACACAGATCCATCTACTGGACAAGTCACGCGACCTTCCTACGAGCGTGGTTCTAAGTGAGTAAACAGTAACGGTGAATTAAGGATTTGGGATTTACTCCTGACGAAAGTGGGCATATGTTTGAGCAACTTCTGATAACGAATCAGAATGATCCAGCTGAATGAAACATCAACCCAGCCGTTTAGCATTTGTCTATAAAAATGAAGAATTCGATCAAGAAGATGGATCACTCTAACTGTTGTAGGTCAACGTCACCTCGCTCGCAAATTTAGATGCAAGTGTATATTAAGCAGAACATTAATGTAGTGACTTCACGACCGTGTCCGATGTTTCTTTGGGAATCTTCGACGTGTCCACCAGATCTATGGATTTAAGAAGCCACTCATCAAGGTCCGCCACTTTCGCCTCCCCCTGTTGCTCTAGATTTCCCCTCAACTTGGCGTCGCTGTGTTTTTGAGCCTCTACTTGCGCTCGAATCTCGCTCAATTTCGCCTTGATGGCCAGACCAAGTAGCTTCGAGGTGGATTCGCTCCTTGCCAAGGCTCCTTTGGCAATTTCTTCTAACTCTCTGGCCGAAAAGTTGCTCACTAGCTTATCCACCACACCAGTGGGAACATCACTAGCGGGATGACCGTTGATGCTTTTCAATATACTCACCAGAGCCGCATATTCGGGGCTACTGGCGAAACTGCTCAAGGTCGATTCACTGTACCACCATGCATTAACCAAGCTGTTGTATACCTCATCCAGCCTTTTGTCTTTCGTTTGCGGGTCGTGCTGCAGCTCGTTAATCGCCTTTAGCACTTCATAATGAGCGTAGGCTATACTTTCTTGTTGAAGTTGCTCGGCACTTTTCACTTGGGCAGAAAGCGTCGGAGCTGATTCACTGAACAAGGTCTTGATGACCATCAGTAAGAACTCGGCGCAACCTCTTTCTTCGTCGCTCCTGTCCGTTTTATTGTCGTCTCGGATGTAGCCATCGGTAGTGACATCCGCCTTCTGACCACCGAGCGAACGGGCTTGAACCGGTTTGAGTTCAGTCGCAGAGACGATGACGCCAGACAACACCACTGGGATGAGGAGACGCATCGCCCGACAGATGGAAGGGGCTCCGGCTGAAGGTGGGGGGATTTTGTGGACTGGGTCGAAGTCCCGACTTTAGAAACGCAGAAACGCGGAGGGTCCGACTTGTCTTGAAACATTTCTATTGAAGCTCATTCTGCAGTGACCTTTTCTTAACCTCTGCTGGCATATATTAAATGAGGCTAATGGATAGCCTAACCGTAGCACAGCTTTTTTAGGTGAACCCCGATGGTTTTATTCGATTTCCTCCATCATACAGCATGTAACCTTCGGTTATCAGGTGCATCTCGCGTGCTGTCGCATAATAAAATGTGACTCAGTCCGTACAAGACATGCGTACTTAAAATAATAGCTCCGTACCTACCCGAGATGTACATTACGTTTTGAGAGAGAGTCCGTGGTCCACTCATTACACTCACAGACGGACACCACCCACCCAAACCCACCCATTGACCCGTTGCCGGCTGCTTTGCCCACCCACGCCATCCAAACCCATGGACGTGGGTGGGCATGGGCGTGGGTGCCCATTGTAGGGCTCTGGTGTGGCAATATACAGCGACTTGGCCAGGTTTTCAGCTGAAAAAGTACCATCTTGGAAGGTTTTGCTGTACAAAAGAAGTTGAGACGAAACCGACATCGTCCGATGATAATGGACCGACTCTTCCGATCATTGTGAATGGAAGCTTGGAAATTTGTAAATGCTCAAGCGTGCGATACCGGACGCCTACGCCGTGCTGCACCCAATAGAGATTTATATGGCCTGTGTGTTTGCTCGGTTGCCTTGAGTGTCAGGTATCGAGTGGCTTGTGCATATTTCACTTCTTCAACTTCAGTCGCTTTTGTTGCTGTGACAACTGTGCTACGCTGGTGGCTCCTTCGAACAGGCATCGCCACTGCTCCTTTGCCGCTCTTCACCACAAGCACAAGATATTGGCGTGGGAAGGCAGCGACCCGAATCAATCAACAGTCCTCAAACAGGATTTAGCAACAAATCCAAAGAAGTTCTGAGGTGTTCCTTGTGCGCACAGCGTAGCGGCTAAGCAAAAAAATGATGCGCAAATGACGTGTAGCAAGTCATCCTCCTGCTTTTATTCAAGCAACATGTCGCAAATATTGCACGCCACCGAACACTGCAATGGATCCGGTACAAGATACCTGCAAAGTGTCCTACCAATCCTTACTTTTTTATCTGTGTCACTGCTCCGTTCTATCCGACATCATATAGACTCTATGTTTCCACCGGCACTGCAAGTATCTCGGTGTCGCTGTATCAGATTATGCTCCTGACAAAGATTTTATCGATAGCGAGCCATCAGGTAAAGTCATTTGTATTCGACACTTGAAGAGAAGAAACCACTTGAGTATAGCTCAAATGCAGTGGCTTCCTTCACGGCTCGCGCAATCCAGTGCTCGAGCAGAGTCTCCGTCCTCTTCTGGCAACAATTAAACCAAGAACTGTTTAACCTCTCGTGGACTACGGAGGTATAGTTGCTCGTCCTTTCAGTCTTACTGCTACCTCGTGCATTGCCCTTCTGACAGTTGAGAAGAGGTACTTGTGTAGTATTGTCAGATTTCCGCACCTTGGATGGACTTCATTGCGCGCTTGTGTATTTCATTTTTCTGCTCATAGTATCCACTCGAGTCCTGTCGACGGGTTACTTCTGCGTTGCAGAACATGACGTGCTAGCAAAGCTTTTGTTATGGTACGGAAGAGCGCAAACAATGCCTGAGAGACCTACGTCAAAGATTCGACCCGAACAGATACCACGTTGATGTCCATGTTAGTAGCGGCGATTGCGGGTATCGTGTCGAATAGGGCCGTTCATCCTGAAGCTGTCGACGCACTCGTCAGGTCTACCCAAAAGTGCCATTCTTGTCACGATTCCGAAGCGTAATGGAGGCAAGGCTGAAACATGATCGTAGTCCAAATTACTCGCATAAGACCATAGCTGTGCAAGAGCACATACACCTTTCTTCGTGCTCGTTGCTGCCATTACTAGATCTTTCAAAACGTGAGTTGTAAACGCTACAGCCAAACAATATGAAGGAAGTGAATCACGACTGTGAAGAGTATGGCTCTGATTGATCCGCATCGTAATCTGCTTGTGCGAGTCTCCTAATGACACTTTGAAGACCGATCGACGGCTGTACTCTCGCATAAATCGGGCTGGCGATAGAGCATCTCATCATACCCACAATCCGAATCACGTGTCGGTCAACAAGTTACAATATGCGCAGCGTATACAAACGGAGTGGATAAAAGCAGCGATCAGCTCAGTCTATCAAGACTAGCGTCAGCTGTTCGAAAAGCTGGAGATACTGGACTGATACAATAGCAGTTAGGTCTAGAAATCCTGGGACCTTTGCAGCAATGAGTGTGCAATGACCTCTGTACATCAATCCACTTGGTGATCGCTTGAGTACGTTTCGCTTCGGACAATGCTTATAAACTCTTTACACTCCTTCCATCCTGCATGCAACAGAGAATGTATATCTCCAATAGCTGAACAGACGCTTTCCCAATTACCTCCTGCCATTTTACCAAATTAGGTTGCGTAGCAACTGTGCTACCTGTCCGTTGCATCATTGCGTGAGTGGCGGCCATTAGAAAGACCTCAAGTGCGGCCAACACAGTCTACTATCGACCCTCATGAGATCTATCTCTCCGACTTCGACCTCATCACGTGCATCGAAAAGATCATTTCTAGTGCGATCCTAATTCGTAAACATGACATTTGTATCGCTACATAAAAAAGACGCCCAGTACATTACGATAGCGAGCGTTGGGCACGTTTTTTAGTTGACGATACCAATGACACCTGTCGTGCACGGCAGCTCCATTTACACTAAATAGAGCACTAGAGTGCGATCTGCATTTTAGGCTCGATACCCTTTTTAAATGCTAGGTTTTATGGAGCGATTTGAGTATGCTGTACTAGAGGTCCCGTCGGAATAGACTGGTCCCTCTGTATTGTAGTAATTCCTTTCAGCGCGAGCGCGAGCAGAGCATAGAAAGCGATGGCTAGTGCCCTCCCGCGCCGCATCGTCAAGGTACGACGCTAGGGGTTCGCTCATGACTCTTTGTCGCTCGTCCATGCCTCATCCTTGGGTAATCGTCCTGCTAACAGTGACGTGCTCTTTGTTGCGCCTGTAGGAAACCCAGCGGCTGCTGGCAGAGCCTGGTGTGTAGAGTATGACTATATAGGGGGAAGGTATTACTCATGGTGGTCTATTCGTGTGTAGTGGCTGGGATCAGTGCAACGCCTTATGAAGACAACCTCCGCTATTTCCAGGTGGTGATTGCCGGTCCACAGTCGTCACCGTACGAGAGTATGTGACTTCTATTTTCGGCGGCGTATTACTATTGAGGAGGGATGCCACGATTTCACATTGTTTGGGCGTTCTAAATTTAGATGGCATCTTCAAGCTGGAGCTGTTCTTGCCGGCAGATTATCCCATGGCGCCGCCCAAAGTGCGATTTCTCACGCGCATCTACCATCCCAACATTGACAAGCTGGGCCGGATCTGTCTGGACATCCTCAAGGACAAGTGGTCCCCTGCCCTGCAGATCCGCACTGTTCTGCTGAGCATTCAGGCGTTGCTGTCGGCGCCTAACCCGGACGATCCGCTGGACAATGATGTCGCGGATCAGTGGAAAACAGACGAGGCGGGAGCAGTGCAAATGGGTACGTGCTGCAGCAGGAGCAAAAGCAAGCTAGCTCTTTTGTTACTCTATATGTTTTATTTCATTTCTCACATGATGGTGTTTGATCATGTGCAGCTGCAGAGTGGACGCGTCGCTTTGCTTGAGCCGACGAAAAGTCGCAATAAAGTGCCAGCAATTGTGCAGTTTTGGCTGTAGTTTTGCTATTTTGGCGCTATGTTGTTTGTCAAACAATGCTACGACCGTGCAAACGCTCACAGAAGCTCTCGTGGATATTGCCTGATAAGAATCGAATACTTGAGTGACGTGAAAAGTGTGTGAACTAAATCAAATGGGGGCTGCACTTTTGAAAGCTAGCCTTCCTCTTTATTACAGAAGAAAGTACCGAAGTCAGCCCAACCAAGCGACAAACATCTCGCATGACGACGACATGAAACGCAAGCACTTTGATCTTTCGCAGCTCGCTTTACGAGTGTTGCCGAAATGCAATGGCAACAGCTTAGTTGTTGCTCGGATACCTTTACGTGTTGCAGTCTGTTCAGATCAATATCACTTCATTGTAAACGATCACTGCTGTATTCTTACTATTGTAGGTACTTTATAAATAGAAATTGCACGTAGATGATTGATGCTTAACAAGGATCAAAGTGCTACCATTATGATTGGTAATCTTTGGTAAGCTGGCTTCAATCAGCAAGTGACTAGCGGTATGATACGTCACCGTTTGGGCGTCCAACGACCTCGTTTTATGGTCGCATTTTTCTAAGATTTAGATTTTTGCCAGAGCAAGCGATTTGCACTCATAATAATAGTCTTCCAAGAAACTGCTTTTTTAACTTAGTAGAAGGCACTTAGAACTCTGTCATCAGGGAAATTATGTTTGTCGGAAAGAAAATTTACCATTATTACAAGTTTAAAGTGGATCGGGTGCTGTGCGCACGGCGAATGTCTGGAGGATGGTCGCAAAGAACTTTGTAAGCAGCCTATAAATATCCCACGATACATCGAGCAGAAAGGAAGCATCGTGTAGGAAGATGAGCGATCTTATTAGTTCAATGAGATTACACAGGTCCAATTTGACATGAGATTCTGGACGCTGCAGCTGAATGAGCTGAGCTACCAGCTCCTGTTTCAGCTTATACTCGCCTCCTCCATCTTCTTCAACCTATCCTATTTTTTTAATCTCTTAGCTGCTTGAGAAACTGAAGACTTGGTAAACATCTCGTGCTGTAAAAAGTAAGTGAAAATGATACCAACCGGGGAATAGCATAAGGCCAGTCATTTTTGTTGCAGGTTCCAGAGTTCCAAGTCGGAGCTTACCGCACCCACCCATGTGCTGAAAAAGACCCTTGGGCTCTGTCACCCACGCCCAAGGTTTTATTTAGTCCACCCACGTCCACCCACATCCTTTTGCCCAGTTTAGCACCAGATTTACACGGTACAAATAAGCCTCTTTCACCACAAAAATAAAGTTTATTGAACAAATGATGGTGCAAAGTAAAATGAGCTTGTGACGTCACGCTTACCCACGCCCACCCATGTATATCCACCAATTCTCGGTCGCACCCCTGACCGTAGAAATACATGGGCGTGGGTTTTTGTGGGCGCCCGATATGAAACTCTGATAGGTTCTGACCCCCAGCCCTTAGTTTACGATCACATTCTGCAGATAAAACAGTAGTAGCGCTGCTGAAAAAGGGGAGATGACGCCGGCTCCATTGGCTAGACAGTGGGCACCGTATTTGGTGCAAGGATTTTTTTTTAAATGTGATGCTAGAGGTCATTCGTCATTCGTCATGTGCGATGTGGCATCGTATTTTTAAATGATGACACTCTCATTTTACCGCATAACTACAGTATGTCCATCACAACATTTAAAGTACACGGGCTGGAGCTGGGACGCATCATACGACTTTGGTCGCTTGCCAAATCTACTCAGGAGCCTGGATGTGATCAATTTATAGCAGTTTGAAGACCACCAATATGGTAACTGTTTCCTGTTCCGGTTAGCGCAATTTTGGCTTGGGGGAGCAGTGACATACCTTTGTTTGGCACGGTCGACCTTTTGTAACGGGGTGAATCGTTACAAAACAATTTATAAGAAATTGTTAATAGAATATAACTATAAGAGTTATATTCTTAGAATATTGTCATAAGGACAAATATTCTGTAGCACTTACAAGTAGTTCCTAATTGGTTGATATAGGCCATTATATCAACCAACGAAGACGCGCCACGACAGACGCACGCAATGAGTGGTGAGCAGATAACTGATTTACACATTTGTATTTAGACATAGTTAGATGAAGATAAATAGTGATTTATTGCAGACATTAACTATTATAAATACAGTTCTACTTTTTACTTTAACCAAGTACTCGCTTCTTCTTACCGTCTTCCTCTGCACGTACGAGTGTACGTGAAGTTACGAGGCACCGCCTTATTCTGTCATCAGAATAAGTAGCTTGTACTGTCACCAGTACAAGCTTCAGGGTGCCCCGTTACACCTGGTAGCACTTCGTAGTCCGTCCAAGGACCACGTTCACATCCAACATGAATATGTTGGATGATGAAGATGACCAAATCTTTCACGCTACGCGTGACGGCTACTCCCATTTGAGCGATGTCGAATGGGATGCGGTTGAACGAATGGGTTCAACCATGGGCATCCATGCTGTTAGCGTCATGCTAGAGGCTCTCAATAGAGATGCCCAACATGCTACTATCGCCAAGCTCATTCAAAATGAACTTGACGCAGAGCGCGAGAAAGTAGCCTTGCTTCACCAACAAGGTTCTCAACAAGCAGAGTTGTTGAGAGAACAGGGTGCTCAACAGTTTGAACTGTTGAGACAGCAGCAGGCTGCTGCTGGCGGGTCGATGCACTCGCGTCGACCCGAGACTTTGAAGATTGACATCTCAAAGCATAGGGGGGTCGAAGAAGACTCCCTCTTGAGATGGTTCGTCGAATTGGATGACGCCATAAGGGCGCGTCGCATCGACGACGGGGATATGCAAGTTGCATTTGCCCAGTCAAATCTGGCAGGACGTGCCAAGACTTGGGCACTGGGGCTCAAGTTGCACGACCCATATGCGTTTGGGTCGTTGGAAGTCTTCAAGTCGCGGCTCAGACAAACGTTTGAACCGCCTAGAGCTGAGTTCAGGGCTCGAACCGAACTCTTGAAGCTCAAGCAGGTAAGCGTGATGTGCACGCTTACGCTCAACATATACGACATCTCACGAGTTGTATAAGTTCCAATCCGGTGGATGAACACACGTTGGTTTCGGTGTTCATGCAGGGTCTTGCGGATGGTCCCGTCAAGACTCACCTGTTCCGGCTTGAACTAGATTCACTAGAACAAGCCATTTCCATTGCGGAGCAGGAAGACTTCAGTCTGAGACAGGCTCGCGCCAGCTCGACATCATATCGTCAACCGAGACGATATGACAACGGAGGATCCAGAGCCGATGGAACTCTGTTATGTAGAGAGCGAGAAGGCTCGCTCTACAGGCTACAAGAAGTTGCAGAGATGCAACAGATGTCAAAAGACAGGACACTACGCTTACGAGTGTAGTGCCCCTCGTCCAGTGTCTCGCAACACTGGGCGTAGTGACCGTCCACCCATGAGAAAGGGGCAGGGACGAGGGTCCGCAGTTGGTGCAAAGACGCAACAACGGGATGGACCGTCAAAAAACGGACAGGATCAGTAGGTGCGGAGCACCCTACTGGTCTAGCAACGTCAAGAGAATTTGTAGGCCTCTTGATGAAGGTTGCTCCCAACACACAAACGTTGTGCGTTGCTGCTCTAGGTAATGAGGTCTCACTCATTACCTTGAAACTCGAAGTGACGAATAAGTTGTCCCTTCGAACTCTAGTCGATTGTGGGGCGTCCAACAATTTAGTGCGACGCCAATCGCTAGAAGATGGTCATTTTAAATTCAGTGAATGTGACACACCTCCTACGAGGATGACGGTACGTCTTGCGACAGGCGCATCCGTAACCGTCATGAAGCGTATAGTGAAGATCCACTATACGCTAGAAGATACCCAACATGACGATGACTTTATCGTATTGGATTTGGATGACAAATTTGATGTCATCCTTGGAATACCGTGGCTCAGAAGGTACGAACCACGAGTAAACTGGCAACATCGGACAGTAACGATGCCTGCCGCTTGTTCATCAGATGGCCATCTGATGAACGTTTTGGAGCGTCCACAAGCGTGTGGATGTACTACGAGTGAGTGCGATGGCCTCACTTGTGGTACGGTCGTTAGTACGACTGCACAAAACCTTAGTGTACCAAACGGTTACACTTCGGAGCAAAGTTCCGGCGGCTGTGAGGAAACACAGGCTGCGCCGAAGGTCCACCACTCGAATAAGTCGGGTGGACTGGGACAAAGATGTATCCCTAGCGGGGAACATCTAGAAGAGAAACAATCGATCGCTCAGGTTAAGCGAAACGATAATCCTAGATCGACTGGAGAGTCTTTCGTAGAGGATCTCGCTGTGGTTGCGCAACCCCAGCTAGAGGAAATAAAGGGAATAAGTCCCAAGATTACAAATACGGCGGAAATAAGTTCCCCGAAACCCGCGGGAATAAGTCCCCGGGAAGACGAAGGAATAAGTCCTTCGAAGCCTGAGGGAATAAGTCCCCAGAAAATGACAGAGACATTGAATGTCATAGTCAATAACGGATCAAGTGTAGGCGCTTATACACTTGATCTGATTGCGCCTCCGAAGTTAACTTCGGAGATCACTCAGTTGCCAACGCTCGAACATAAAAGGTTCTTGCGTGATCTGCGTAGTGGCAAAGTCAAGCAGATCTGCATACTCGTCGCTGACGACGAGTGTGTAACCGACATAAGGTCAGCAACAGTGTTCACTGAGAACGAGAGAGTTCTCAGTAGTTCATCTATGGACGAGAGTGTCCTAGATGAAAAGACACGAATTGAGCGATATGACTCCCAATCATGGGAATCGCTCAAGAAAAATCCTCTCTATGAAGATTTGGTTGAATTCAAGGATGTATTCCCTGAAACTGTTCCGTGCGAATTACCGAAGGATAAAGGTATTCGACACGAGGTCGAGCTTAAACCAGGCTCGAAGTACTGTGTCATGAAGCAGTGACCACTGCCTCGTGAACAAGTACTTGCGATCGACAAGTTCTTTGCCGATCGTTTAGCTGCGGGCCATGTGAGGGAATCAACTTCCCCACATAGCTCTCCGACCTTCTGTGTGCGAAAAGCAACAGGAGGGTGGCGGATAGTGCACGCGTTCAACAAATTGAACGCTGCAACGGTACCGGCTCAGACGCCGATACCGAGGAAGGACGTGATCATTGATGGTATGTCAAAGAGTACCATCTTTTCGTCCATGGATTCGATGGATGGCTTCTATCAAATCCTTATGCGGGAACGGGATATACCCTATACCGCAGTGAGCACGCCTAGCGGCATGCTCTGGGAATGGCTAGTAATGCCACAAGGGCTTAGTAATGCCCCTGCCACGTTCAACAGATGTGTATCACATCTGTTGAGACCAGTACGAGAATTCGCGCCGAGTTATTTCGATGACGTACTCATCCATAGTCGAGCTATGGATGGAAAGTCGGACGTTGAGGTTTACAGGTACCACGTCCGACAGGTTCTTACAATCATGCGAAAGCATCAATTGTATACCAATCTCGAGAAGTGTATATATTTGCCGCAAGCGAAATACCACTTCTTGGGTGCATCGTTGGTAAGAACGGTGTACGTCCTGATCCCGAAAAGATCAAGGCGATCACCGACTGGCCTGTGCCGGTTGATGTCAAAGGTCTTCGAAAATTCCTTGGGCTAGCGGCGTATTTGCATAAGTATTCACGCAATTACGCCGAGATGACTGTACACCTCTCTCGTTTGTTGAAAAAGAACGAGAGGTGGTTATGGAACGCTGAATGTCAACGCTCCTTTGAGGGTATCAAGCAGAGCTTGATACAATCCCCAGTCCTAGCAATAGCCGATCAGGACAGGCCATTTCATGTGGTCTGTGATGCCAGCGATTTCGCAATCGGCTGTGCATTAATGCAGTACGATCTTGAAGGCGTTGAACGCGTCGTCTGCTATCAGTCGCGTCAGCTGCAACCAGCTGAGCGGAACTATCCAGTGCATGACAAGGAACTCCTTGCCATGAAGTTTGCACTCGCGAAGTTCAGAGTCTATCTATTAGGAGATAGACCCTTCATTGTTTACACTGACCATGCGTCATTACGCACGGCAGTGAACAGCCCGCACCTTTCACAACGAATGGCGCGGTGGTTGTCATTCTTTGCGGAATACAACTTTACGGTCGAGTACAAACCAGGAAGACTTAATGTCGTCGCTGATGCACTCTCACGTCGTCCCGACTTTGAAAAAGTCGCGAAACCCAACAGTGAGACAGTCACTGTTGCGGTTATGACGTCCTCAGTCCCATCTACAACGTTGTATGATGATGTGAGGCGGGCATACGCCCAAGATGGTGAGATAGTGAAGTTGTTGACACATCTCTTCCAACCATCTCGAGAATCGTTGAAACGATTGTCGTCTGCGTATCGATCTGCATCAGATCGATACACTACTCGTAACGGTTTACTGTATTATACAGCCGTTTCTGGTGACACACCACGTGTTGTCATTCCAGATGATACTGATCTGCGTTTGCGGATCATGTTCGAGTATCACGATGCTCCTATAGGAGGACATCGTGGCCGAGAGAAAACATATCTCACGGTAAGTCGAGACTTTTACTGGCCCCGCCAGTATCAGTTTGTGCGAAAGTATGTTCGCGCATGCGAAGTCTGTCAACGAGTGAAGTCAAGTCCTTCACTGCGTGCACCTTTACAGCCTCTACCGGTTCCGGCTGAGTGCTGGGAATCCATCTCAATGGATTTCGTCTTCGGGTTACCCAAAGACGCACGCGGGAATACGGGTATTCTCGTATTTGTTGACAGATTCAGCAAAATGGTACACCTTGTGGCTGTACCAGAGACAATCACGGCAAGTGGCTGTGCTTGTGTCTTTATTGACACCATCTTCCGACTTCATGGGTTGCCCCGTGAACTCGTATCAGACAGAGATCCACGATTCACTGCTGATTTCTGGCGTTCCGTGTTCAAATCACTCGGAACGCGCTTGAAGATGTCGACATCTGATCATCCAGAGTCATATGGTCAGACGGAACGTGCCAACCGTGTCCTTGAATAGATACTTCGAGGATACGTACACTTCTTTAAGAGTTGGAGTGAGTTTTTGCCAATGTTAGACTTTGCCCTTAACAACTCGGTGCATGCGTCCACGACACATACACCGTTTTACGTGAATGGCTTGCGCCATCCGCGTGTACCCACCTTACTAGATTGTAACTCTGGTTTAAGGGGGGGGACTCGCGCGAGCAAAAACCGAATTGGTTCACGCTCATCACGCTCTGACAAAGAAGTCATTGCGTTTGATGCCGATATCGATAACATCGATATCGAAGAAGATGATGCCAGTGAGAGTGCGGAAGCCCTCACTGAAGAAGATGATCCCAGTGAGAGTGCGGAAGCCCTCACTGAAGAAAAGGTTGATGTTGCTGCAGTGCGCTCACAGCACACTGAAGCTAACGAGTCATCAGATGAGTTCATACTGGCTCGTGAAACGGTAGTCCGTTTTGTGCAAGACTCCATCGCCGAAGCGGTGGATAAGCAAAAGCAAAACGCTGACAAGAATGGAAGGGCAAACACTCTTTTATTTAATAAAGGTGACTTAGTCCTACTGTCTACGGTTAATCTACCAAAGCATGTAGTGACTAACTTGGGTAGCAGTAAACTACTACCCAAGTACATCGGCCCATTTCGTGTATTACATCGCCTAGGCAACGCATACACGATCGAACTGCCACGTAAGATGCGAACGCATCCCACGTTTTACGTTGGTCGGCTTAAGCCGTACCATCAGTACGCTGCTTCTTCCGATGAAGAACGCCCTTGCGCTCAAGCATCTCGCAGAGAGCCTTGTGCTCCCGATGGTGGGCATCAACAAGGGTCTGAAGAGCAGCTATCTCATCCCGAGACCGATCAGCAATCCCACGAGCTACCCTTATCTCGTCACGAAGAGATGTCAGAGATCTCTCGTTCTCAAGCTGAGCAAAGGCAAACTCAGCTCGATGCTTCGAGGCAGTGTCCGCCATTTGGAGACGCCTATTCCGCTCATGTTCGAGATCGTCGCGTAACCCTTGCGTTACGCGATCAAAGAAGCTCTCGGGAACACACCGATCCACATGATCGTGTGGAGAGCGTCTTTCCTCCTCCTCCACCTCCATTAGAGGACTCTCGCGGTGGACAGCGCTATCTAGTTGAGCAGCTGTTGAACCACCGCGACGTGAACGGACGTCGGACGAGTTATCTCGTCCGGTGGCGCGGCTATCCCCCGTCCTGGGATTCTTGGGAGCCCCGCTCCCAACTGATGATCGACGTACTAGGTCTGGTTGAGCAGTACGACGCGGCACATCCTGTGCCGCAGAAGGACCGCCGGAGAAAGTCTTCCCGGCACGGTCGTAAAGGGATTTCAGGTTGTCAATCCCTTCGTACATCTCAGTAGAGATACGTACGCGCCACCACGGGCTGGTAAGGAGGTAAGCCTCCTTAGGTGCTCGTGCAGAGTTGTTCACACAACATGGGCACGAGTCTCCCCATGAGAGGCAGGGTAATCCTTTCTCCCTTGACAGACGATGCAGCTTGTAGCGTGCACCTGTCGGGGTTCGCTTTTCAAACTTATCACGAGCTTTGATAAGTTTGTCGTTCCAAGCGTCACGACCTACATCCTCAAGGTTATGGATGTAGGCGTTCCACGCTTGAAGTAGCGAGGGACCATCACGCTTGTGGTTCCCACTGTACCATAGATGTCTGAAGAAAGCATCGATGAAGAATTCATGTTCAGCGCGATAGTTTTTCGCGCTGGGGTCAAGGTGATGGATCCTTGAAGAATCGAACAATCGTGTTCGATAACGATCACTCGTCGTCGCCGACAAGTGATCCATGACTGATTTAGGAGGCATCCATGCCTTCTTCTCAGGAGCGAGACACAACGCATTGCGGTCCCGCTCTTCCTGCGACGTGCCGACAGAAGTACTGGCACCTCGCTGTGAAGTGGTGTCCATAGGAGAACCGACACCACTATTAGCGCCCGAGTCTCGCGACCTCGAGCGCCTTCGCTTCGGCGATGGTTCATCTGATTCATCAGATGAACCAAAGATGCTGCGACGCAAAGCATCGTCCATGCCACGCTTGGCAGGCGGCTTAGATTCAATCGCCGTCGATACGGATCCGTCATCCGTATCAGGAGAGTACGAGACACCGAGATCGTACTCTGTGAAGACACGAGTGTCTTCATGACCAGCGCCTGCATCACCAAGTGACACAGGCTGGGTCGCTTCAGCAACCGATGAGACATCAGTTGCTGTTGTTTCTGCTTCGGCGTCCGCACAGAGACGTGCAGACGCGCTCTCGGCGGCCTTGCTCGCGCATCGCATGGGCTTGTTTACCATGCGATGAAATGTTGGAAAGTGGACGCGGACCAACAAGTGCAAACCCTGTCCCAAATGATTTGGGACGAGTATCCATTTAGTCAATCAGTCACTAAAGTGACTGATGGTTAAGGGGGGGTGATGTAACGGGGTGAATCGTTACATAACAATTTATAAGAAATTGTTAATAGAATATAACTATAAGAGTTTTATTCTCAGAATATTGTCATAAGGACAAATATTCTGTTGCACTTACAAGTAGTTCCTAATTGGTTGATATAGGCCATTATATCAACCAACGAAGACGCGCCACGACAGACGCACGCAATGAGTGGTGAGCAGATAACTGATTTACACATTTGTATTTAGACATAGTTAGATGAAGATATATAGTGATTTATTGCAGACATTAACTATTATAAATACAGTTCTACTTTTTACTTTAACCAAGTACTCGCTTCTTCTTACCGTCTTCCTCTGCACGTACGAGTGTACGTGAAGTTACGAGGCATCGCCTTATTCTTTCGTCAGAATAAGTAGCTTGTACTGTCACCAGTACAAGCTTCAGGGTGCCCCGTTACACCTTTTGATCTATGAAATTGGTGTAACCTCTTCAAATGTTGCGCATTCACTGATTAGTTGTCACCTCTGCTAGATTTACTAAATTCTTCGTCCACCGAGCTCACAACTGATCGGAGGGAGCACTGAACGACAGAATCCAGTGTTAAATGACCTCTAATTAATTGAGAGGCAATGAATACAGCGGCATATTGTATTCAAAAATGGGTGCTTGCTCGCTCTAATATACTCTTTACGTGTACCACTTGTTGTTTCGCAGGGGGTCGCTTGATTTACATGCTGTCAGCAGTCAACTGTGCTAAATGACTGTGACGACCCGCACACGTGAAGCTGAAGTTGTTTGCAGGACGATGCGCATGATTTACACTACTAGTTTGGTACTTTCGTCACACTGAAGCCACTTACCGTCAGAGCTGGTAACAAGTGCTGACAGATATTACACTGATTAATTGCGACTCATTAAATGTTTCAAATCTGGCTGGTGATGCAACAATAGAGACGCGCAACAACACATCCCATAGATGAAAGAGATATCGTCGCTCCTTTACTAACTCCTGGTCGACATTATAGCCACTTTCCGTTTGAAGTCATGATATCTGGCAACAGATTTTGCAGCGAATCATTTCACAGTTGATTACCTGAGGGGTACCTGTGATGTTTGGAAAGTCGACGGGAGTGTGAGTCAAGTTATGTTAAAGTACTGGGCGTGTCCACCAAGTAGAATCCAGCGGGTTTGTGATCCCTCTCCTTCGTAAACTCCGTGTCTCACCAGCCAAATCTCCGTTGAAAAGCGTAAGACACAACTGTTCAGCTTAACAGAGTAATAAATTTCTGGAACGACACATCATTACGCTTCGTGGCGTAATGATGTGTCGTATCAGCTAATTGGTAGTTATCATGCTGCTACTCGACAAAGTCAGCCTTGCCGCGTCAACACAGTCGAACGATGCTCGTGTGGTAGAAGGTCTGCATTCTATGGCGAAGATGCTTGTTGATTAAGAATGCTCACGGTAAATATCATTTGGTCGATCAATACTACAATCTGACGCGGCATCACCACATGACCACCGCGACTTCTCAGTCTGCCTCCACTTGCTACAAAATTAATCACATGAATATCAATGCACACCATATATTGTTTTCGAAATGATTCAATCATTTGCAAATTCGACAATGACTAAGCGTGCAAACACATCCTTCGCCTCTAAATTTGCAGCTTCATATCATATCAGTGCTATTTTTATCAGTCTAGTACAATTAATCTATTGATCGTTCCATTTATATTGTCAATTATCCAGTCTAATCATCTCCTTCATATTTTCACAATTATTCACAATATATGTCTCCACCGCCCGCCACTACCGCCAATCAACCATCCCACGTGCACATCCAAGAAATGGTCAAGAAGTCCCGCAAGGCGCTGCACATCGCTCCACCGCGCATGAAATCGCGCCGCAAAGCGCGTCAAGTGACCACGACGTTCCATCGGCTAACCCACGAGCTCGCACGACTGAAAACAGACTGTCCCGCTTCCACTGAGCCGCAGAAAGAGCTCGTCCAACAGCGGATATCAGCGATCCAGGAGCAATTGGAGAAAATGGGTGGCCACAAGACGTACCAAGACGCCAGTATCCTGAGCACGAGCTTCCACAAGACGTCCAAGTGGATTTTCCAGCTACTCACGAGCTTCGAGCTGCGCCCAAGAGCTAAACAGCCGCCACTTCAAGTGCTCGAAGTCGGAGCGATTAATACGCAGTTACTAGCGTGTCCGTGGCTTCACGTGCGGGCCATTGACCTCCAGTCAAGACACGAGCGCATTGAGCAATGCGACTTTTTCAGCCTCAAGCCAATGGAAGAGTTCCACGTCGTGGTGTCCAGCATGGTGCTCAATTGCGTCCCTGGAGCTGCTCGTCGAGGCGAGATGCTGCGGCTGTATCGAAGCCACTTGAAGGAACAGGGACTGCTGTTCCTCATGTTGCCGCTCTTGTGTTTACGGCACTCGCGGTTTATGACGTACGCGCGATTCCTCAAGATCTTGGAGGCAGTCGGATTCCGCGTGCGGGAGACGAAAAACTCGCCCAAAGTCGCTTTCTTCTGCTTGGAAAGGATCGAGACCGTGAACGAAGCGGCTTCGTTCCCGCAGACGCTACTGGTTCCAGGTGATAAGCGCAATGACTTCAGCGTCACTATCTAGATGGGGAAATGGCACTGCCGTTTTTGTGTATCCACTACTATCAGGACCGACTACCTCCGTCGTCTTTATCTATTTGATTGGAGACGGTCCTTGAGCCTCATCGACAACTGAAGCCTTGAAGTGCAGCATACAGTCGTCGCGTGTCTTTGCAGGGTGTACCAGTTGCCATGCTACAACGCGGTCCAGCAGCTCCTTTACCTGCGGGCCTGGCTTCACTCCAAGCTGCTTCATGAGATCGTTGCCCTGACAAGGTTTGCACAAGCACAAGCACACAGATGAGTAAGCTTCGGATCGAGCAAATACAACCATGAAGTTGCAACTTACATCGAGAAGTGGCTTGAGTTTCCAGGCGCTATCTAAACCAGAGTCCAGAATATACGAGATAAAAGTGTCGTATCGCTTCGATACCGTTGCCCGCGCATCAGCAGAATCACAAAACGGTCCAGAGTCTACTAGTTCCTGCACAAGCGCCACATTGCAGCAGATGTCCCACTGAGCACCGATACTGCGAATGAGAAGGCCTGAGTCCAACCGGTTGAACGTTTTGCATGTAAGCGCCTGAAGCTGACGAACGTGCGCCAGCACATTCTCCACGTCCTTAGCATCTCGATTAGGCAGCTTCAGCGCGTCTTGAACGACGAATGCAGCAATCGATCGACGGCGCTTGTCGAGCACACAGAGTCCGCAGAACGGCAGCAATACACACGCCAAAATACGCACGTGCAGCTCATGTTTCTTTTCCAAAGTCAAACTATCGACGTCCAACACGTCGCCTGAAGCCATCATCAACTGGCACATCTCTGACACGTAAGCATAAGAACGGCCCCACGCGTGTTCATCAATGTTCTCTGCTTTTCCATCTGCGCGACAAACAGGCGTCTTTTCGAGCAAAGCAGGGGGCAGGAACACGCTCTCAGATAGTCCGAGTTCATGCAGCAGCTGCACAGCACGTTCAGGATGTGCTGCGCTCCCTGTGAGCATAGCACAAAGCTCCTTGCCCACTCGTTCCCGACTAACTTTCCGCACAAGTGCCACGCGCACTTCGTCCATCTGCGCCGCCGCACGCAAGTCGTCATCTAGCATGCAATTGAATCTCGACGCGAAGCGCACTGCACGCAGCACACGCAGCGGATCATCCAGAAACGTCACGCGTGGGTCCAACGGCGTCCGCAGCAGTCGAGTCTGTAAATCATGAACACCTCGTCCAGTGAAATCCTCAACTTGTTTCGTCACCAAATTGTAAAACAACGCGTTGATCGTAAAGTCGCGACGCTCCGCGTCCTGCTGAGGAGTCCCAAAAGCCACAGTTGGAATCCGAGTGTCCTCGGAAGCGTACGTCTCGGCACGGAGATTGACAAAGTCCACCCATCCAAAGCTGTCCCGCATCTGCATCGTCGCGGTCTCCAAGTGCTTACTCTGCTCCGGGTTCGCCTTGATCACGCCAACAGCTCGCGCTTGACGACCTTGAGCAGTCTCGTACACGTTAATGAGGTCGGCAAAAGCCCGACCGGTCATAACGTCGAGCACAATGTCCACGTCATCGCTGTCTCGTCCCAGGAGCTTGTCACGTACCCACCCACCAGCTACTCGCAGGACCGCGCCGTTGGCTGCAGGCTGCCTGGCCACGTCCAAGAGGAACGCGAAGAGCTTTTCCTCTGCGGGTGACAGCTGTATAGCTGTGGACATGCGCTGCTTCTTGTCCACACCAGCAGAAGAGGAGGAGGCCGGGAGCGGAGTAGCCACGCGCTTCTTCATGCGGGTTCCAAGAGCTTTTGGAAAATGCTTCGTTGTGATTGGTCGTTTAGTGAGACGAGTGGCTGACTTGGTTTTGACCAATGAGCGTGACGCTGTCGAGATGATTGACGCGCACGTGGTCGCGGACGAGATTACGCGAGAGAGTCGGGCGTTCCAGCGACAGGTGGACGGTCCAAGGGGCGTCATGGCGTATCTCGTACGCGTGAATGCAGGGGAGAGGGAGAGGGAGTTTGGTCGCAAGGGGCTGACTGACGCGCGTGCGTTCGTTCGTTTGTGCGCTGATTAGGACAGGACTCGAGGGGAGAAGCGGACCGATGTGAACAAAACGTTTTTGCTTCGCACTATTCGCAGGTTCGAACTGAGGTTTAAGCTGCTGCTGCTGCTGCTGCTGAGTCGCGGGGGTTTGGATTGTTTTTGTGTCGGTTATTTGTAGCTTGATGAAGAGGTTGTGTGGATTGTGCGTTGTTGTGGTAGTGTGGACTTGCACAACCGACGGCAGGAGGAGGATCAATGCTGGATGATGCACCGCAAGGAGCGTAACGTGGATGCATTGAGAGACGAGTGTCGATCCAGTGGAAGGAGTCGGAGTAAAAGTAAGCCGAGTCCAGATGAAGAGGCGAGACGTGAGAAGAAGCGACGACGCAGTAGAGTTAGAAGTCGGAGTCGGAGCAAACGATGGCAAGAGGATCGGAGGTCACCCAGACAGAAGCCACGGCTCAAGTGAGAAGGTCCACAATGACAGACGAGAAGACAGAGATGAACGCAGTTACTGGGCGCAGAAGAAGGCTGAGAAAAGTACGAAGATTTGGGAAGATTTATACTCGAAAGGCACTGTGTCCACGGAGAACGCCCCTGCCTTTGGTAGTGAGTCGGAATCTAGCGACGATGACGTGAAACCGGCAGCCGCACATTCGTCGTCAGTGTCTGAGCATAAAAGGAAGAAGCAGATGAAAATGATCAAGAAACGTGATGGAAAGAAAGACAAGAAAGCGAAAAGACGATGAAGCTGTGCGGAAGGCACCGCGAGGCACCTTCACGAGGAGTGTGATTAGGGATTAACATAGAAAACAGCGGCGAATGCGAGCTTTGGTTAAAGAAAAGAAGCATCTAGAAGCTTGCTGCATGATCTAGGCCCACGTTGACAGAGCTTGGTAGGTTGCGAATATCATCGTGAAGATGCCTATCCCAATGATGATGTTGTTCAAGGCGCGTCCATCCTCTAGAAGCTTGGAGTGGAACAGGCACGGATAGATGAAAGCCAATGGTACGGAGCAGAAGCCGCCAATAAGTGCCACAAAATTGTCAAGCTCTTCTTTTCCGTAATACGCGACAGCAGCAGTGAGGCACACCAGCATGAACCGAAACCCATTCTTTTCCCAGCGCCAGTAACCCTTCTGGCTGTGACTAGGGAAGAGATAGCCTTCCAATATCTTGATCACCGGGTAGAGCATAAGCGGGTACGTGAGCACCAGTGCGATCGAGTACGTAATCTGAACAGACATGGTAGCGAGGCTGACTTGAGCACTGGGCAAGTTCATGGTGACAACAGACTGTGTGTTTTGCCCAAATGCCGCGTATACAAGTCCAGCGAAAACCGAGAAGAGTGTTACAAGGAACATCATGGTGTACGCAAGGATGCGAGGGAACTTGTGCTTCGTATCGTGATCCATAGCGTCATAGATCGGCAGCACCAGTCCAATGCCTTCGAAACAGTACACGGCTGTACCCAGTAACATGGCCCAGCTCTTCGAGTTGAAATTTTCCCACGAACTACTGTTAGCCGGCGCGTCATCGAGCGTTTGCACCGTGTAAGATATGATGTACACGATGCCAAACAGGATGAGGAGATCGGCAAACAAATTCGTAAGCGCAAAGTATTCGATGCGGCGCACCCACGAAAGCGGCGTGTAGAGCAGGATCTGGAGCACAATGAGCGTCAATGACGATGACGCAGTCGTTCTCTGGATGCCGAACGCAGCCAGAATGACCTCGCCAATATTCTTCTCCACAAAAATCAGGTACGAGCAGCAGAAACCAAGTTGCGAGAGCACAAGCGAAATGTTCACAGCCACGCGGCCCACTTTTCCAAATGCTTTTTCGCCAACGAAACCGTACGATACGTTTATGTGACCATGTTCACGTTGCACAACATTGGAACAGTCGGTCAGACGCAACATGCAAAAAGTCGACAGTATTGCCGAGACACTCAGTGCTCCAAGCGAAAAGAGCATTCCACCGTTCTGGAAGCCTTTGGGTAAAAACAGGATGCCGCTACCGATAAACGATTTGAGGATCGTAAACACGGTTTTCCCAACGGTCGCACTCGGCTGCTGCTTCTCAGGCCGGCGCTTCCACGCACGACTCAAGAGCGGTGTGCTGGTTTCCTACATTATCGTTACCCAAGACACAAGTAAGTCAGGTACTGCATTCGAGAACTAGCATGCTCTAGCTTCCCGTACATCGGAATCGTCGTCATCGTCTGCTAAGTCAAGATTGGCCATAATAAAGCCGCCGTACGCAGACCGCAAAAACCCTTCGGTCGGCTGAATCGACTCAAGAAAAGAGTCCTGCACACACGAAGGCACATGAGGACTGTCGCCTTCGAGGTTCGTGATCATGTGGTCGCGACGGAATCCTCCAGGCTGGGCAATGTCCGACGCTTTGCCTGTATAGAAGCAGTAGAAGCAATAGCAATAGTATATGCCTAATTAGCAGCTATTATCGTATCGATGTTGACGTCCTTGCTACTGAATGAATGGACCACGCACCAACATCTTCGTGGAGGATCTCGCTCTGGTCTGGCAAGGACTTGGGACGTGGCGGTCCGTCCTGCGTGTCCTTGAGAATAGCAAAGAAGATGTCGCGCGTCATGTCGGACCCTTCTTCGTTGATCATGTGCGGTCCGAGCGTCTCCCCGTTGAGACTGGACGCAGGCGGCGGCGTCTTGACGGGATCATCGGTCATGACTTGAGCTGCTCGACGGAAGTGGCAGTGGCGCGGGTGCGACGTGTGTACCACACAATGTTACACCAACGAGTGAGGAGGAGGAATTCGAGTAAATTAAGTTTGAGAGGTTGGAGGGATTGCGCATGGCCGCAACGGATGGTTGTAAACCAGCTACGTTTCGAGCATTTTTGTGTTATTGAGAAATGTCGACATCCTGTGTGATGATCACTGGGTAAATTCGCTTAGAAACATGTATTGGATCAGTAGATTTACCAGTTTGGCGGCACTATTCGCGCTGACAAAAAGCTGTGTTTAGACAATAGCGCATCAAGATGCTATCGCGCTATAGCACAATCTCTACATTGACTTGGATGAAGCTAGTAATACTGGCTCATGCGACGAATATGGATTGCAATGTAGTGAGCTGGGGGGAGGCATTCAGGTCAAATTGCATCACGTTCACTCGTCAGGTTATGACAGATCTTTGTTGTGCAGATGGCGTTGGAACACGTATTTGCTCTTGCCAAGATGGATGACTGATACGATTTCGAAGCATTCTAACGGTTGAGTTAATCGCAAGAGACCGGAGGCTGCTGGAAGGTTTTGAGACTTTCAACTTGGACAACTAAGACGTCAAGGTACCACATCAAACAAGTGTCATGGACTGTTCTGTTCATCCGCATGTCTTACCTACCACTATGTCTCACGCCAGATACCTCTAAACTTTTCGTGCAATAATCCAAGCGGACCAACCAACAGTGCCAAAGCTCGGATCTAAAATACTGCACCATGTCGCTCATTCGGTCGATACTAATGATGTTTTACAGTACGCTATTGTTCCACTAATCGCTAAAAAAAACCAACGACATGTTTGCCCCTCGTCTGTGTCACGCTCACCGCAGCGCTGATTGGTCCGATTATGAATAAAGCAGCAGCTAGGGTTCCATCAGCCGCAATCTTATGTAGTACACACCAATTACACATCCCGAGCCGTCACGATGTCGTCGGTTCAAGTGGCGCCCACGCGCATGTACGTCGTCTCGCGTCACGACCCACTCGCTGTATGCAACTGTTACACATAACACAATTGCAACTGACTGCTCTGCTCCTGCCTTCATAATTGCAGGGCGCTAACGACGTTCAAGACCAAGAGTGTCAGTGCCAAAAAAGGTGCAGCTTTCCATCACTTCGGAATCATTTTGAAAGGCTAATACTTGTTGATTATTACTCCAATACCATTGCGTTTCTATGTATTTTTGTGCGACATTCAGGGTTTGAACTCTTGAAGAAAAAAGCTGATGCGCTCAAGATGCGGTTCCAAGCCATGCTCCGAGAGATCCAAAAGGTTCTTCTGACGTGCTGTGCGACTTTTCGATTGGCACCTCTGTCTCAATTTATCCATGTGATCAATTGTGGTGTCATGACTGCAGACGAAAATGTCCATGTCGACCGAGGCTTCCGAGGCCTTTTTCTCACTCACGCAGGCGCAATACGCGGCTGGTGACTTTCGTAATAAAGTCATCGAGTCCGTGACCACAGCTGAGATCCGCACGCAGAACCGCATTGACAACGTGGCCGGCGTGAAGCTGCCAGTGTTCACGGAGGTGGAAGTCAGTCGCGAGAAGAGTGACAACATTGGTCTTGCTGGAGGCGGTGGCAAGATACAAAACTGTCGTGCCAAGTTTCGCGTGCTACTGCGTGCGCTGATCAAACTCGCGTCGCTTCAGGTCAGTGGTGGTGGTGATAGCAATATGAGCTGCTGATAGATCACAGCGTTTGAGCTCATGCTTACTCGAATCCTGGACTTGGCGACAGACGTCTTTTGTGACTCTGGACGAGGCTCTGAAGGTGACGAATCGCCGTGTGAACGCGCTGGACAATGTGCGTTCTCTGTGTGGAAGTTTGTTGCTGCTGTCTCCTCGATGCTGACTAAGCTTTGCTGAGGCGTGATACAACGTTCATAGGTGACGATCCCCCGCATCGAGAATACCATCTCGTACATCTCGAGGGAGCTTGATGAGCTGGAGCGCGAGGACTTTGTGCGGTATGTAGCATTAGAATCTGCAGCAGTGGTCGTGGCTTTGGTTCTGAGCTAATAGCGCTGCTGTCTGGGGTTCGACACGACAGCATCAAAAAAGTGCAGGCGAACAAGCAAGTCATCGAGAAGGCTGTCCAGGCCAAGAAGAAAGGTACGAAGTGATGCACGCCACCCACACAAAGCAGTTGATCGATCGGTCAGTCAGACACTCATGTTCCGTTCCTGATATGCTAGAAGCGGCTGCAAAGAATGCTTTGGCCGAGGACCCGATCGCTGATGTTGTGGCATCGGACCACGACATTCTTTCCCAGTACGAGCTTTCCGCCGATGCAGATGTGGTGTTCTAGGGCGACGAGATGACGACAAAGACGCAGACGTTGGCAGCTTTGCAGCCACCGTCCGCTGCAACGAAATGCGCTGAAAATAAACGCATTTTACTGCAGCCTCGATGTCACGGCTTTTCATACCCCTGTCTATCCCCCTCGCGTTTCTAGCCAGTCATTTATTAACCATCTGTACGTGTGTGTAGATCCCATCATCATGGAGCCCATTGCCAAGCGCCTGAAGCAATCCGCCGAGAACGTGCTACACAATTGCTCCCCACCACGACAAGAGGAAGACATTGCAGACCGGATCAAGCGTCTAGAAGCAGAGCTTCAAGGCGAACGTGATGATGACTCAATTGACTCCGATTTCAGCTCCGATTCGGATGATAATGGCAAGGTCAAGAATAAAGCAGTTGTGAACCTGTCGGTTTACGCTTCCGAGCGCATTGAGGCGCTGCCGGAAAAGCTGCTGCCCGCTGCACGATGGTCGTCAAAGCTGCCGCCTGGCAAGAAGAAAACGAGTGGGAAGACGCAGCACGAGGATGACGAACAAGCGGCTCACGAAGCGCTAAAGCAGCTTAGCGACGCGCTGACGTTCCCAAAGAAGGTCCCGTTTGCCTGCAAGCCGTGCAAGTTCATCGGCAAAGACATGGACGAGTTTCAGGCTCATCGGGCATCTAAGAAGCACTTGGAGCGTGTGAAAAGTGAAGACTCGACGCTGCAGTGCGTCCTCTGTGCCAAGTCGTTCACGAGTCAAAGCCAAGTGGACGAACATCGTGCTGGCAAGTGGCATAAGCAGCGCGCACAACAGAAGAAGGAGCGGCATACGGTGCAGGTGTGTTACGATTTTATTCGTGGCACGTGCACGTATGGCGATCGCTGCAGCTTCGAGCACACCGAGACGAAAGCCATGCGCGCTGGACGAGCACTGGACAAGACCCGAAGACGAGTGTGCGGGAACTTTGCCCGCACCAAGAATTGCCGCTTTGGTGACAAGTGTCTGTTCTCACATGACGTGAAACGAGACGACCGAGAAGTGCTCGCAACGACGGCGGCTCATTTGGTCTAACACCTTGTTCACACGCACTTGTTGCATCCGTGTCTGTGTCTTGTCCACGTATGTAGAATCGCTGAGCTGCAGTCTGCTTGACGATCTGTTGACCTGCTGGCTACAGTTCAAGCATCTCGTTGACAAAAGCTTCTACCCGCTCAAGCGTGAACTCGCCACTAAGACGACGTGTCACATCCACAATCGCTTCCTGTTGCTGCTGGTTGCAAAAGACCAGCATCACTGGCAGATCGGCCATTGCAATTGACGCGTCCGCTTCTTTGGCCATCATTGCTGCAAACTAGAAGACGATCATGACGCGTAAGTCAAGCGCTAACACATCCGTCATGAAGCTACAGCATTTTTACCTTGACATGGACGAGCTTCCGTGCCAATACCTCCAGCTGCGTATTCAGCAGACAACAGGCATCGTTGTCGGAATCGTAGAGGTGCACGAGCATGGACCTGCTGCCAGGAGGCTTCATCGTGTCGGAAGTGAGCGTCAGAAACTGCTCTGGTGTGATATACTCCAGGGCTCCATGAACGTCGCAACGACGTGCTGCGTCTCGCATTTCCTTGACACGCAGCTGCGTATACTGGACCAAGAACGCGTCCTCCTCCAAGCCACTGTCGTCGCACTCGTCCTCCGAATGTGCTGTGAAGTCCTCGATCGAAGTGACGGTAGCGCCTTCAATAACGCGATGGAGCCCCTTTGTCCGCTCTTGCTCCTTGCTCCAGCAGCGCTACACACACAAGGACAGCAACAACCGACAGGCAAAGACCTTCGTTAAGCATCACTCTGTCTCCCTTATAGACACAAGGAGAGAGAGAGAGAGAGAGAGAGAGAGAGAGAGCGACGTCCTTCGTACCTTCGCCTCCGTCTCGTACTGCTTCTTCGCCTTGTAATCAGACAGGACCCCCTTTGGTCCCGTGTGCGTCGAGGCAAAGTCACGACTCGGAGCTCTGCCAAAGCTCCGCGTGGTCGTCCCCCACGTCTCTTTGTCCACTGGAAATCGTCGCCATGAACCCGTCGAATCAGGTCCAGAACGTCCTCGGTCCGTAGTCGCGTGTCCGTCGTCGCTAAGGCGTCAGAGAAGCAGTTTTCGTATCAGTTAAGACTGCAGGTGGACAGTTAAGTTACAAAGTCTCAGCTGTGGCTGACCTCAATTCCGAGTCTGAGTCAATTTGACCACTTAATTCGTCGGACTTGCGGTGCTGGACCACGTTATCCTGCGGCAGATTAGAGGTCTCCATCGCTTTTTAGACTGCGATCAGCTACTGACGCACTTTACATAGAGATGTATGGACCAGGACCAACTGCTGGAAGATATGGAGAGAGAGAAGGCTACGAAGACAGTGGGATGTATATAGTCGAGAAGCGCTCTTCAGCTGCACTGTCATTCACGTCGATTGAACGGGAAGAATGGACGGTATTAACGCCGGTACTCCTCGCTACCAAATGCTTTCGCCACGTCCAGCACTCATCTTACGCGATCGAGGCGATGATCATGTACAGCTTTTGACTCGTTTTCATCTCCTCCTCCTGCCCACTCGCCATAGGATGACGTGAATCGCCTACACCTCCTCACATACTTAAGCACGTGCTGCCTTATACACCACCTCGTGGTCGTGCAGAATCCGCCGCCTCCATCCGACGTTCTAGCCCTTGCCTGACTGCTTCATGAGCCACTGGATGACCTGATCAATGTTCACAAGACGCAGCGCCGAGATGGGGATCACGAGCCACGGGTTGTCCACGATATAGTCCAAGTTCAGCTCACGGATGAGCTCGGGCTCGGAAATGTGCGGCTCTAGATCAATCTTGTTCGCCAGCACCAGCAGCGGCGTCGTCGCTAATTCACTGCAAAGCAAAACAAACAGACAAACAACAGTCAGTAACAATAGTCTACAGCAGCTGCAGCAGCACAAGAGTAACAGCAACTATACCGGTCTTCAAGCAGACGGTGCAGCTCCTTCCGAGCCAACGAGATTTGGTCAAACTGTGGCAACCAACCATCAGCTCACGTCAGTGTTTGACCACCCCGAACCAGCAGCAGTAACGCTCAATCGAGAGCGTCGAAACACATACCGCATTGGCGTCCACCACATATATAATGACGTCACAACCACGTGTGTAGCGACCCCACTCGCTCCGGTATTGGGCCTGTCCGCCGATATCCCAGCACTTCATCTGCACTCCTCCTTTTTTCACCAGCTTCACGTTCAGCCCAATGGTCGGACACGTCTCCACGGGGTGACCCATCGCCATCACATTCAGCAGCGTCGTCTTGCCACTACAGACACAACAACAGTACCACGTCAAGATCCAGTACGAAAATCCAAAAATAGAATGGGTCAGAATTTAGACATTCGAGTTCGAAAGAGACTTGTCAACTGTTCCAAATCTAGGCACGTACCTATTTTCCAGCCCCACAAGCACCACCTCGAGCTTCTTTGTGTAAAAGGCCTGCAGCATTTTCTGTAGAATACCCCCCATTCTTGCTACTGCTTTTAGCTACTGGCTACTGGGCTAGAAGCTGCTGCTGCTGCTGGTGCTGCTGCTGCTGGTGGGTTAATAGAGGTCTCTAGATGTGAAGATGCGACCTCTTCTTGCGTTTTGGCAGGGGGCGTCGGGTCGAGCAGGTGCCAAATAGATGGGGAAGTGCGTCTTTTTTATGTTGATCCAGATGAGGTGCTGTACTTGATGTTTGTATGCTAGCGACATAAATTGCTTAGAGTTCTGGTCCTCAAGTGGCAACTGATTTTTCTGTGCTCGAGCAACGTTGCAGCAACCTCTTCAAAATGCTACAGCGACCGTCTGGATTCCCTAACCGAAATGAACCTGTCAAATGGAGCAGCTAACGGGGCTGAGACGAAGACAAGACCACATCCTACGTATAACACAGGAAGTTTTGGACACTTCCACTCTCCGTCAGCAGAGAGCGGAAGTGGCAAAAACTTCTTACCGATTCAATTTGTCCAATTCATATGGATGAAAACCCCATCACAATTACCGTTTGCCGGAGGTGCGAGTCTTTCGCCGCCACGAAGCGTCGAGCGTTCGCTTGTTATTCCTCCGTTAACTCATGGTTACGATTGAGTTGGTTGCGAGCGAGCATTGGAGCGTGTGTGACCAGCAGTTCCTGTGAGGTCACAATAGGTGACCTAGTCAAAGCGTGATACCTGCAATGCCGATGCTGTCCTCTCCTATGTATGTGTTTGTGAAAAACGCTATTGTGCAATAAAACTGACCTCTCTGTAAATGGCACTAAGTGTACCTTACACGTCGTACTAAGTGCGATGTGGCATGTCTTCTCCTCATAGGTAAGACTTGCATTATGGTTATAGATCTATGATTAAGTCGCGATTTGCGGCCTCATCTAAAGTACCAGTCACGTACACGCAGCAATACCCGCTCAGGATAACTGAAACACTATTAAGGTCGAATGAAGGCTTACAAGCACATTCTCGACACTTGAGGTAGCTTAAGTCTCCAAGTTTTCGCAAACAGTAGACGCGAAGTAGCTTTTTATTCGAAACCTTTCGTACTTTATTGTGAAAGTTAGAAATTGTGGCCTTCTTCCTCTATCGGTGGCTGAGGAGAATCTCTCAAGTACAGTTCTTGTTCTCATTACTCAGTTGTATGGTTCCGGCGCACTTTTCAGTTGACGCTGTTGCCATGGTCTCACTTTTCTCATGCTCGTCTATCAAACATCAACAAATAAAACAAGTAGATATAATACGTAATCCATCGGCAACTTCTTCTGAATTACACAGCGAACAAACCATTCCTCAGCCGCCGACAACCCAGAATGGGTGGATGAGTTTGATCGAACTTAATTTTAGTCCTCTGGACAAAGTAATGTACATTGAATGGCGAGCTCCAAAGCTTGCTCCCCTACCGTTACCGACAAATCAAAAACAACTTTATGTGCTGCAAATAGAAGATTGGTGGATGGTTAACGTTTGCCAGATCACTGGCATAGGCTATTCCGGTAATTACAAGAATCACTACATGTTTTTACAGGGGGTAGATGATTGATGGTTGATTAACGTTTGCCGGATCAATGAATTACGCCGTTCCGGTAATTACCTGAATCACTATACACTTTTATAGGAGGCCGGTACATCCACATTCTCTTTCTGAATAGAGACGCACTCCTGTAAAATAAGAAGCACTTTTTATTGTATTGCCACACATTATAACATATGGCGAGCGAATACGGACCAATAATTTATGATGGTCCACTCAATTATTGTCAATGTTTTTGTAAAGAATTCATAAATGTATGCAATCGCTTCAAGCTTGTTGGCTTTGTCGTGACATAGACTACAAAAATAGTGCTAAACACATTAGATCATTGACATATTTCTCGTAAAATAAAGTTAGTCGTAAGCGAAATGCTTTTTGTGAGTTGTAGTTAAGGAGTGTGATCTGAGTTCGTTTCCACCTACAATACGACGCTCTTGATATTACCTCGATGATCGACATCACAAGGTCAATACTGCCGATTTCTCCACATCCAGCAAGATTGTCTTTCTCTTAAATGTTTTCACAAGAATATTAATGACTTTCAGCAATTTCACCTGCGAATACCTACTAGCTTTACACACCTTAATCCCTCGCGCTTTTATTGTTTGTCAAGCGTCGGATGCTGCCTCTGACGTATCCACGTTCTTTTACAGCAATATGAAGCAATAGTCTGACAAAGCGCTGCTATGGATATCGACAACCTGACGGTGAGCATCTGCATATCGATATAGTGTCGGAACTGCATGAGCAGAATAATAGCGAGCCCGAAGGGCGAAGGTGTCCGTGATTGTGCACAAAGTGAATGGCAATCTTTTCAAATCTTAACCCATCTTTCTGTGTGTCTGTCTGTAAAACAATAGGGTAGTAAGTGTAAAGGGGCACCATAGCAACACACTGAACAACTAGTGTGGAGCTACTGTCACCGACAGCAGCATGAGTGGTGCCTCTCTACCTCTGTTAGCTTGGCAGAGGGAGGGCAAGCAACTAGGAACTGACTAGTTGCTGGTAAAAGTAAATCTGCATTGAATGTAATTAAGTCCTAATCATTAGTCTAAGTTTTAGTCCTAATTTTATCATATTTATCTACGAAAATGTATGCTAAAGTCTTGCTCACCACTCATTGCCCGCGTGCATCGTTGATTGGACCGCTAGAGCTGGCTGATATGATGACCCAGAGCCAATCTGTGAGTGTATCCCCGAAAATTATCCCTTTAGGTAATATGCACAACATTATCAACCTTTACGATAAAATTCTAGCTAACAAGTACCAAGGGTTAATTACATGTAACAGGCTCACCCGTGACAGTAAGCCTCTACAGCCCACCATTTGATGTAGGTAATTCAGTTCATAGGACTATTTCAAGTTCGGTATATTCGTGTACACATTTTTAGGTGGTTGTCCACGAGAGAATGAGTTGTGGTGGGTGTCCTTTATCAACAAAAGTGCTGGTGGATGGTGTGTCTTAGAGTTCGTCCATCGATGTTGTTCATCCTTATAAACAGACGAATATGAAAAAAAGGAGCGTGGAGGATCCTGCTCGGTAACGCCGTAAACAACAAAGTGCGGCCTACAACACATAATAAACTAATGTTTAAGTGATATTAGATTGAGAGAGCTCGATCTGCTGTCTAAAGAATTGTGACCATATTCTCTTACTATACCAGTATATCAAATACATCAGATGTAAACCACTTCACACATGCCATTTGCGAAAGGTGCTAGGCCTTTGCCGCCCCAATGTGTCTGGCATGTGCTTGTTAGCCCTCTCTTCTCCCTCACATTATTTATATGTCAATCTTGTGCAGGTATTTGTGCGTGTATAAATGTTGCACAGTTCACACCGCCCTTTTGGAACTGATCGAAGAGTATCACTTTAAATGCCTATTGACCACTAGAGAGTGGACAACTGATACGTCACATCTGCATGACGTACAAACTACACATTGTGTCTATATGCAGACTCTTACATATAGTAAGTAAAACTTCACCGCACTTAGTACGACTTGAAAAGGTGGATCAAGTGTTTATCAACAGACACAAACGTAGGAGGTGAAAATGCTATATTGCACTTAGTGCGGCATTTAAGTTACGTATAGCGCGACTCACGGACACAATATATGACAGGTCACATCGCACTTCGTCCAAGTTGTTATGTACACCCTAGTGTTTATTACAGACTCAAACGATGGAGAGAATAGGCTAAAATGCGCTTAGCGCGATGTGTAAAGCTACATAAAGCGTTACTTATGGACACACGACATTGCACTTAGTGCGACCTGTAAGGCACAACTGGCATTATTCGCATACACATGAGGCAAAAGAATGAATTGCACTTCGGGCAACGTGTAAGATGCATCTCGCGTTACTCACAGACACACAAACAGACAAACAGATGCACTAAATGGTACGATTTAAAAGCTCGGCATTCAGCTTGCGTACAGCCTCTGACAGCTTTACCCTTTGGGATTGCAACAAGCGACTTGGACAGACAAACTAACGATGGGCGATAATTTCGAGCACGCTTGGAAGTCAGCGCACAGTTTTTATTCGTTTAGATTGACTGTCAATGGAAGTGGATACAATAGCTTTGATTGATGGAAGTTATCAAAGCAAATGCGAAAGACAAACGTGAAATCACATGAGCATGCTATAGATGTACACACTCGTACGCATCGCATTCGTTCTCGGTACTGGTGATGTACAAAATCGTACGCATCGCATACGTTCTCGGCGCATCTTCTATTTTAGCAATTTTTAAAAGATCGTGAGGTGTATTTTGTAAATTGTTTTTGTTTCCTCATCTTGTGGTCCATTCGTTCTCTCGTGATAAACTAACGCATGTTGATTTCTAATATTTTTATCTGTAGTAGAAATGGTTAATCACTTTGATCTTGCAGCAGCTTCTCCTATTTTTATTCTTGTGATTTCTATTTTCCATAGCTACTTAATTTTGCAATGGATATGTCCTCTCTGTGGACATCCCTTGGCTGCACACTGCTGTAGATGGACACAAAATCCCCTCCTTTCTGGAAACTTGCGTTTGACAATGGAGAACACGTGTCGAGTCATGAGTGACCATGCACGTTGGGACGACGGGCGCACAACGCTGCGAGAGCTGGTACCTTGTACCCCTTTTTTGACATTGTGCGTCTGAAACTCACACTGATGCCATTTTGCAATCGTCAGTTCCAAAAGAGTCAGCAGCCACATCCGCTGACGGTGCAATGCGCCTCGTTCGCGCACTTCTGCTGCCTGGTATCTTTGTTTACGTGTCTCACGTAGACCTGCTTCAGGTCCGTGCGCTACGCAGAAGCGAAACCGAAGTTTCTGAAGGAAGCGCTCTTCGTTCCGGCACTGCAGCGGTTGTTAGTGACGACGAAAGAGCGGCTACTGGTTGGACGCAGAAGCTGACGAATCTGTTTTCGACGGCTAAGAGCAGGAAGGCCAAAGCTGCACAAAAAGCAAACGACGAGGACGACAAGCTTTTTAAGCTCAAAACAGAATACCTGGACATTCTGTATAAATTGTTACTTGATGAGAGAGCGAAAAAGAGTCAAACCATTGCATCTTTCGTTGGCAGCGAAGAGTTTAATTTGATGCTAAGAGCAATCCGCCAAGCTGACGAGAGTCTCCGCGAAACGAAGCATAAAATTGTTCCGTCCGAATATTTTATCAGCAAGTTCACACCTGATGACATGAATACGGTGCTCAAGCCAAATGGTAAGCGCAGCGAGATGGGTGAGGAACTCAAGATAGCTATTTGGTCGCATTTAAATTCGAATAACCTGCGGAAGAATGAGAAAAGCAAGACTAGGTTGAGAATATCGAGTATTATGTGAACGCTTCCCATGTGAGTACTGACATGCAGTCAAACTACTTATGACATTAACTTGACAGACATTTGGTTTTGCACTAGCCATCTACTTATGATCGCTCACGAAATGTCGCTCGTATCAATTTGTCATGTGCTAACTAGGTCATCATGACATCGCCATGGATTTCACATGACGGCTATCCTGAATTCCAGAATTCAATTACCTGTTCTCACTAGGCGTAAGCTACGCTACTAGTCGATCGTGTGTACCGTCCAACGTTGCAGAGAAATGAACCTTGCGCAATTCGCGCTTTATGATATTATTACCATTCATTCAACTTTTGTCCGAGCTGTCTGCCACTTCACGCTAAATGGCTGAATCCAAGAACACAGCGGAATAAGTTAATGCGCGCTTCTCACCCTTGTCTATGCAGCAGATACATGTGGAGCTTGCTTGAGCCACCTCCGAGCTCAACGTCATCCTGGTCTCCGATCTTTATTTTACAGAAGAAATGTCGTAGGCTGTTGAGGATATTTGCAGGCACATAGTTGTCATTGCCTACAATATCTTAGCAATCTGTCATTGCACCATTTTAAGCTTGCATTTAGCCAGTCTTATCATGTCAAGTGTTGGGAGCTCCAATCAATTTGAACGACTTTGCTTTTCGGCAAGCGTCGTGGTCAGCTGTACGTACACGATACTGGACTTCCAGCGAAAATGACCTTCGTATCGTGGCATTTCCCGTTCAGCGTTATTTACTGTTTTGATCAAATGACTGCTGAGATTCAAATACTTATAAAAGTTGAGAGATACAACTACTGTTCGTCACTACAATCACATGCTACATTTCTTGTCATCAGTTCTGTTGCCTTAGCGATTGCTCAGTGCTCATTCGTGCTGGAATGGACGTTACTTAAGACAAGCCAACATCCAAATTCTTGAGTATGCGTGCCGATCACAACAGAATATCGTTAATGTGTGATACCCAGAGAAGCTCACAATCGTAAACACCGGCCCATAATTTAATATCGTGGTACATCAATTAGTACGCAGATAAAAATGTCAACGAAGTGGCAACAACGTTTGCGGCACCTCCCAGGATATCGAAAAATAATTCGAATAGATGGCCACAAAATTATTTGCATACCTCACTTCTCGCACCAGCTTTTATCAAGCGATCGTACGTCGGCATGTTCAAGTCGATCATTAATAGTCATATCCCTTTCCGTAAAAAGCGCTATCATACAATTGGCTAAAATGAGTCGCTTCTACAATCTTGTAATCTTCGAAAACCATCATCTTTTGCAAATACTTGATCTCTCTAAAATTTTGCAATGCGTACATAGGGACAAATGTTGTACACTCTTTTATGAGCCGACAGTAACACTGCCACATAGAACGATGTAACTGGATTAGCGCCACCAAGACTACAATGACGTGTATTGTTTAGGATGTAATATTCACCACAAATTATCGCATGCTCTTGAGCCGCTCCGCCAACACTTAAATTGTCATGCATTATACGATCAATTTGTAATGAACCATAATCATCAAATGGCTCGCACAGTCTTGTCAGCGCGTGCTCTGGATTTATCCCTTTGAGTCGCAAAACAATACATTCTTGTTTTACACATAATAATCATAATGATTTATCGCGACTCAGTGACTACTTACTTGCCCGCATATTATCTAAGAATATAAGCTTACATTTCTCACGCTTACGATTTGCAGAACCGATATCTGTACCGTCATCACCCGAACTTAATTATATATTTATTTTTATTTTAAGTTTACTTTATGTCCATCGGACACATGCATTTTAGTTGCTCTTTTTATTTTTTTGTGAACGCGTAACTAAATCTCTAATAAACAAGGATATCGTCTTTCCTGCAGCCTACAACTGCAGCTGGACTTGCATGGGGTTTTTTTCTCAGCAGTTTCGTGCCGCCAAAACATATAATCAACGATGTTGGATGTATCATGTTTATACAAAACAAAATACAGATAATGATGTTGCCTTCACAACATCCAGTTTAAACACACCTCCATCCGTCTTGTATTTTGCAGTGTAGTCCGATAGCGGTTTCCATCTATGTTTATACTAGCCGACAACTTTGCCATTCGCTGTGACAACATTCGCGTGATTCGCTTGATCGAATACACGTTTTAGTAGCTGCTGATTCAGTGTGGTACTGGTAGTAAACAATCATGCAACTCGCTTGTTTTTTATTACACTTGCTCTCGAAGTGAACGGCACCTTTGTGCATTTTTCGCTACTGTATTTGTCGTGATCAACTCACTTACAAATTCATAGATCAGAAGTCTTTCGCCGCATAAAACGGATTTTTCCTTTGAAATCAACCAGCCGTATATACTATTCTTAGGATGTCGATTAATGCAGTCTACAGAGCATGTCCTACCTCTCCGAGGCACGCGTATATACTGGGTATCTATGCTGCAGATGTTAAAATTAACATTATCGGTTACGTGTTCGCCACGGAGTATGGGACTGAATGCTACTCCTGGGTAGGAAGTAAATACCCGCAATCCAAAAAAATGACAAGGGAGCAGTAGTTTAAGGCCGTGTTAAGCTATATGACATTGCAGTTGTCGATAACCACGCAGTATTCGATGATTATCGAATAAATGTACCATCTTATTAATAACGAATTATTCGATGATGTTGGAAAGAGAGGAGAGATCCACTCTAGCCAAAAGGTGGCGCGTCAGATGATGTGGCTCGAACAGGTAACAAATGTAAAGTTTGCAGGAAGCTATGTGTACAAAAATCACATGAAAAACAGGAGGTTGTGAGTTATAAATTCAGGATTAGCCAAGCAATTGATGATATCGAAACCACGAGCACAACTCATAATTTTAACATACACGGGCAGAAAATTCTTATTTCGAATAAGTCATGCCCACAGCGATGTGTGCTTGTTGGTGCTCACGAGTTGCGAACACGAATTCGTGGTATTTGTGTGAATAAGACACAACGGTGTATTCGCGTAATGTGTAAGTTTCATTCTCATTGCTCGAAGCGTATCAATTCTGAGCAAGTTCGATTTGCTGCATCCGCGATGCAAGATTAGCGAGGCGTCCTTTTTTTAGCTGAATAGCTCATTTTAATCAGTTTCGGTTGGCGTACTTATTCATACTAACAGATCAGAATTGGTTTTCTCAACGCGTGCTCTGCTACAGCGTGCATCCTGATTGCATTACACCAATTTTAAACTGCAGTGATTTGTTTAAAAATTGTGTGTGAGTCATAGACGATGTGAATCGCACGTGCACTTTCATAATAATTTCAGCATCTAATTAAAAATTAAGCGATCTTTTTGTAAAGCAAGAAAGATTACGCCTTCTCCTTCTCCTCGACAGATCCATTTAATCTGCAACATTTTGATATCATTCTATCAAGGGAACCGCTATTCAACCATCACCTACTTGCAGTTTGCCCCCCCAGTTCCAATATTTATAAAATCTGATTTGTCGAAAAGTTTGCACTCTTTTTTGCAGTAAAATAGGTACATCGATACTAAGAATGACCTCTTTCATTTTTAAATTACAATGAACAGCCTTGAACCACCTCCGCATCTTGCTTAGGCTTCCCTAGAACAAGCAAGAGTCGCCATAAATTCATATGCACATTAGAAAGGCTACGCTGTTGTAAAACGACGCACAAAAAGGATCGGCAACAGAAAAGACGGTGACGTCAAAGCTATTGATCTTTAATGCTCCCTATCATACCTTCCGTCCATACATACCGGACCTTGCCATCGAACCTCGTCCAGAAGTAGAACTGGATGTTTGTTCAAGGCAAGTGTACAGCGACTAAGACTATAGATTGGCACGTACAAGTTGCAAATGAAGAACACAATCATGAGCCCTTCACTCACAAGGCTGCTTATCCGCAAGGTCACTATTTGGCACAACCAAATCGGCAATCAGTCTTGTACCTAACGCGCGCTAGTGTAAACCCATCCATTTTATCGCTTTACTGCAGCAGAACAGCGATATCACGATTACGGATCGATACACTTATATCCTACGCGATTATGAACGTAACAGGATGCTTGAAGGTAGCTATATATTAATAAATCTTGTGGATTCTCGAACTCCTAGAAGTCGTTTCACTCAGATGATGCACAGCAGCGTCTTACTTAACCGCTAATTATCTCACCATCTGCAAAGGAAATTTGCAGCAAGTACAGTGTTGGCGTGGTGTGGATTATTGATGCGACCTCTAAGACCAGCAGGCACGGACTTTCTCTTCTCCACATACTTGGCTTATCGGCAATAAGGTGCACATTTACATTTGCGTACTGTTTATGAGAAATGAGAATGTGGTGGACAACTCGTGGACATTGCGCCATTTACGAGAATGTTTTTGACTTATCATATACAAGCTGAGCTCATTTTAGTCATAGATCGAGATCTTGCTCCGATGAACGCGCTCACGCAAACATTTTTCGATGCATCTTGCTTGCTCTACCGGTGGCATATCAGCAAGAACATTATTGTCAAGAAGAGAAAGATCTGTGAGCACTCAGTGCCCGGAAAGAATTCATCTTAGCTTGGAACGAGCTTGTTACTGCCACAACCGTAGTTTCTTATGGGTTGAAAATCGCATCAACGCATGTCGCATTCCCTTTCGTCTTGATGCACTACTTAATTACACATAGCTTGCGTACAAGGCCTTTTCTGTTTATGTTCTCTTACGAAATAAACACCATTTTGTCCACGTAACAATTTCGCGTGTAAAGAGTGCTTATGCCTGTTTCTCTAAAATAAAGATAACTGTGTCAACCGGTAAGTTGAAAATTTAGAGCATAGCTTTGTAATTATGGTTTTTTTGTTGCAGGTGAACTTTGATCAGTGGACTCAGTGGTTCGCCTTACATGTGGAGTTCAGCTTTCTGTAGCCATGCAGCAAAATGCAAAGCAGCATGCCGTTGTCAATATGCACTTTGTATAAAATTTATTTAGAAGTGATGGGTAAGATATCTGTAGCAGGTCTGAAAC